TATAGATATGTAATCATTGCATGTATTCGTATGTATGTAGATGATGCTGCGTTCAGGGAGGAACGGCTACTCGTCTGTGTAAGTGTACGTCACGTGACATAACACCATGTTGCTGTCACGTGATACATATAACACAGCAAATCAAATCAGGAACACGAGCTCCAACACAATGTGAGCTGAAGGGGATGGTATATAGAACGACACTTTAGGTACGTTTGGCTTGGAATGTGTACGTAAGTTTGCATAATCTACGAAGATATCGGCTTTGGAACTTGGGTTGGACAGGAAGGATTTATTAAATCCGGATTCGGATTCGCTTAAGCGGTATGATAGCGATCCGGGAGCAGCGGTCTCCGCTCCTGGCCTTGCTCTACATCTACATCTACATCTACACCGGTGACCACAATCGCAATGCCGCTCCTCCTCTCCCTCTGCATGAACCACGCCAGGGCCAGACTCAACGTGAAGGGGATTCTATCTCCCGTCAGTAAATGCCGGGAGGAGAGGAAGTAGAAAGCAGCAAGGTAGGAGGTGAGATGCCGGCGTGACTTACGAGGCGAGAAGTGTGAGGTCGATGATGCCGCCTAGCGTCCCGTTGAGGCCGCTCACGTCTGTCCGCTTCCAGGCGAGGCCGAAGACCTCGATGGAGAGGAGGGTGGTAATGAAGAAAAATGTCTTGACGATTTGCGAGTTTAAGTAGAGGGTCGGAGTGAGGGTGCGGCGGAGGAGGAAGACGGCTTCGTTGCTGAGGAGGAGGAGGATGAGAAGGAAGAAGATTAAGATGGTGAGGTAAGATCTGCGGGGTGTTGGTTAGTATTCGAAGAGGTGTACCGAGGAAGATGCGGTGGTGAAATGGGTTTGTAAAAGAGAGATGTTTATATTGGTTATAATTAGAAAAAGTGAAGAAAAAGTGGACTGGTTTGGTGAAGGAGGGATACTGATCCTGGTTGTGTTTGGGAATAAGGGACATAGATGGCGATCTCTGTTGTAAGAGTGAGGCCGGTGTGGCAGGGGGAGAAACGTACGGTCCGAGAGCGCCCAGGTCGCCCTTCGCGGCCATGGCAGCGACGAGGAAAGTAATAGCATAGATGTAGACAGTAATGGTCATGAATTGAATAACCCATAGGAGAACTGGCAGCCCGCAATGCATTGGTATGGTGATCTGATCCGAGCCTGCTGCGCGAGGCATAGTGAGCGAGTGAGTAGCAAGCAGAGAAGCAGAGAAGCAGAGAAGCAGGCAAGCAGACGAGCAGACGAGCTGAAAAGCAGCAAGCGAAGCGGGCTGAATTATCAACAGGATGAGGAGAGTATGGCAAAGAACAGACGAAGACAGGAGATGTACCACTTTTAATATCGAACCCGAGGTTCATGGACCTTGATCACCCATGGGCATCCGGTCCCTCATCCCTCACGACTTGGGATGACCTGTGTAGAAGGGCTTGGTGGGATGAGCACGCATGAGCAGCCATCCGAACTTGAATGTGTATGTTGTCTCTGCCGAAGCAGAAATGGAATGGAATGAAATGGAATGGAATGAGAGCATGAACATACGCATAAGCCTACGGAGCATAAGCATGAAAGAGTCGGATAGAAGCAAGCAACGGTCAAAACCAACGATACATTGCCAACCGAAACCAAGCACGGACCGGGGGGGGGGGGAGCACACGTGACCGAACCATGTTTGATTGATCGAGGGGGATCGTCGAATTAGCCAAACAAGCAGCATGGGGGAGGAAGGGGGGGGGCCCCTCGGTATCGGGAGGCGATCTGACGCACAGACATTGAACTTTTGATGTTGATCTTCATAGGTACATCTACCTACCGGTTACCTACTGTAGGTTCTCACTCTCTTACCGACTTGACTCTACCTGACATGCTGGCCTGGCCTGGCCTGGCCTGGCCTGGGATTCGAATCCGAATCTGAATCTGAATCTGAAGCTGAATCTGAAGCTGAAGCTGAATCGGAATCGGAATCGGAATCGGAATCGGAATCCGAGTCTGAGGATAAGCGCGCTCTTCCGTGTTACAGTACCAGGGTGTGGTGGTGAAGCGCGTAGCCGGATAGATTCTCGTCAACAGACTCCAGAGAGAGAACAAGAGCAAGAACAGGCATAAGAACAGTAGCCATCACAATCACAATCACAATCACAATCACAACTTCCCCCTGCATGATTGATGTAGAGTATTGAGAGTTGAAGTCGAGCGTCGCCGTCGAGATTCGAGATTCGAGATTCGAAATTTAAGATCCGAGCTCCGAGCTGGCTCACTTGTCAAGAGAACAGGAGCCGGCGTGGACCCCTGAATTTAAGTTCCCCGGTGAAGGTGATTGGCGGGTTCCCTCCTGCGCCAAAATGGGGAAAGTAAAGTAATAGGAGAGAGAGAGGGAGAGAGAGAGAGAGAGATACAGAGAGAGAGATACAGAGCATGCAATGCAAATGCAAATGCAATCGCAATCGCAATTGCAGTTGCAGTTGCAGGAAATTAACAGCAAGATTATTACAAGAATTGGAATCTCTTTTTCGCTCCATCTTTCGGAAATACAACGAGAGCCTTTCCCTTCCGCTCCTATCCTGTCCTCTCTTGTCTCTCTCTTCCTCCGGCCGTCATCTGTGGCTCTGCTCTCTGCACACCCCCCCCCCCGCCGGCGCCTCTCACTTCCACTTGAAAGCTTCCAGCCTCAATTCTTAAATAAGCATTATACTTCAACAACGCCTACTATTGTACGTAGTATGTACAATATATCGGCCTAGCCAGCCAACCAGCCATCCATCTCGCTTCACCTCCCTCCAATTCACCTCACCTCACCTCACCTCACCTCACCTCATCACCTTCCTTGACGTACCCCACACGCTCCTCAACCTGGAGCTCCCGAAACATCCACCGAGACCTCCGCACACCCAATCCAGACAGTATCGAGACATTCACGCTCCCTTTTGTCGCAAGCTCGACCCTCGAAAATCGGAAAAATTCCCTCTGCCCCCATCTCCAAACCTCATCTTCATCCTTGAGAAAATACATACAGCTGGCGCCGACATAGGAAGGATTCCGAGGAGGAATCTAACCGGGCAACCACACTCGCAGCCGCAGACAGAAACCACAATCCCCGTTCCGGCGAGAAGCACTCACATCCAGTCTGCCAGTCTGCCAGTCTGCCAGGCCGTCAGTCATGGTGTCTTCATCCCGACCGCGCACTCCGAGTGCGAGCCAGTCTCCTGAACCGCTGAACGCGAAAGAGAACCCTCCTCCCCGTCGCTCCTCCCTCGGCTTGCTCCTGCGCAGATCCAAATCGACCGAACTCAAAGCACCCACGAAGAAGCAGCAGGCCATCGCCCGCGAGCTGGAGCTCGAGAGACATCGCCGACAGGTACCTAACATCCCCAAATCACCTCCAAGACTCCCCGACCTCTACAACGGCCAGAAGCCCGCAAACCTGCCATTCGGCACCGAGGATCGTCCCGATTCGGTAGCCATCGTATCAAACAGAGCAACTGGATATATAGACGGTCGGGCCTCGATGGAGCCACCACGTTCAACTTTTGCTATTGGTACCGCCGTCCCACTCCCCCCCGTCCCCACCAGCGGAAGTCGAAATGGCGACTGGGTAGACCCTTATGCACGCACGGAGAGCATGACCCATCGTGGCAGATATAGCTACGCAAGTAGTGCCATTAGCACCATCAGCAGTCCGCGGCGACTCAGGAGACGGAAGGACCCGACACCGTTTAAGTAAGTCTGATCCACCGTCTTGAAGGCCAGAGCGTTGACCTTATCCAGCATCCTCATTATCGGCGCTCGTTCATCCGGAAAAACGTCGTTTCTCGAGTTCCTCAAGACCTCGCTAGCCCTCCCACCAAAGAAGAGATTCAATCGACCTCAAGAACTCGCCGAAGACATATTCGCCCCGAAAAACAAGAAGACGGGCAACTTCCAATCGCAGTACCTGGAGACGGAGATCGATGGCGAACGCATTGGCCTTACGATATGGGACTCTGAAGGCTTGGAAAAGAATGTCGTTGATCTGCAACTCCGAGAGATGTCCTCATTCCTGGAGAGCAAATTCGAAGAGACCTTCACTGAGGAGATGAAGGTTGTCCGAGCACCTGGTGTACAAGACACCCATATTCACTGTACTTTCCTCCTTCTCGACCCACTTCGTCTCGATAGAAACATTGCCGCCTCCAAGGATGCATCTGCGGATGGCAATGGTTCCTCCACGAACGGGAAGTATAGCTCGTCTCCACGCCCCGTCGGCGGCCTCGACGAGGACCTCGATCTTCAAGTTTTGCGCTCGCTACAAGGCAAGACGACGGTCATCCCTATCATCTCCAAGGCGGATACCATCACCACAGCGCACATGACTCACCTCAAGAAGACGGTCTGGGACAGCTTGCGCAAGGCGAATCTCGACCCCCTTGAAGCCCTGGGCGTTGACGACCTCGACCCTGATAGTCCGACGAGGGACACCAACCGCATCGATGAAGCCGATGAGGAGGCGGATTTCGACGACGACGACGACGAACTCATCATTCAGAATCACGAGGCCAAATCTCCTCCGAATTCGAAGCGAGTGTCTTCGAGTTCCGGCCGCCGTCACAACGAATCCGAGTCAGATGAGATTCCGTACCTTCCCCTCTCGATCATCAGCCCCGACATCTACGAACCCGACGTCATCGGCAGGAAATTCCCTTGGGGATTTGCAGACCCATTGAACGTCGAGCATTGCGATTTTGTGAGACTCAAGGATGCAGTCTTCAACGAGTGGCGCGGCGAGTTGCGAGAAGCAAGCCGAGAGCTCTGGTACGAAGGATGGAGAACCAGCAGACTTAAGCATCGTGAGGTCAAGCGATGATCTGGTCTGTCTCATAAGCCCTTGCCTTTGATACAGATGGACGAGTTAATCTCGGTTGTACTACACGTTTCCCTTTGTCCCCAGCCTGCATACCCCTTACTTCGTTCTGCGCGCTCGTTTAACAGGTACCTCAGGTCCTCACATCTTTTTATTGGGGTGGGGAATAAATTCCAGATGTTTGACCGATAGCGTTTTTCGGCAGATAGCGTTTGCGTATTCAATTCTACAGCGGTGGGCCCGCTTTTACTTCTGTTTTGCAAGAGACTCTTCCCATATGGCAGGCAAGCTGATAGGCTGAGGGAGCGCTGCAATCATGAGACCCATGTTAGGAAGACATTGGTATTTGGCGATTGGACTTGGGCGGCTATTCGGGTTTTCCCTGGAGGAGATTTGTGTGTATGAATCAACTTTTTTTCTACGGTGGCTCGATTGGGGTGAGAGCGTGGGCGGCAGATCGAGGTTCTGGGTGGTTAGTTGACGAGATAATACTACAGTGTTGTCTCAACTTTGCTTCTTCCAATGAATTGGTGCTCGCGGTACTAGATGTATTCCTCTCTCCGAATGGGGGATCGGAGACAGCACATTTGAGCGGATCCCCCTCGTGCTAGTCGATACGCACTGTCGTGTCAACACCTCGAGCAGATCGCTCCACTCACTCTCCACATATAGAGCTCGTCTGTCCTTGACGCTTATTCGCATCCTCTTCATCCCCTCATGCTCATCTGTTTGAAGAAGAATCGGGGTCGGTGCCAACTTCTCACTGTCCTCCATCCCGTTTGTTCGTTCTAGATCAGACAACAGGCCAGTCATATATGGTATTTGCTCTTTCTCGACACAGTGGTCTGCTTCTTCCCCGGTATCTGCATGCGGCTTGAGGGGTCTGGCTTCACCCGTGTTGATCTCTCTATTGCTCTTATCAAAGTATCCACTCGCTTGGTGGTAGGCAATGAGCTAACTTGGACTCGGGGCATAGGTAGGCAGCTTGTCTAGAAGCTGGCAGATGGCAGATGGAGCATCTCCATGTACCGGTACTTACTCCGTGGCCATGCCCATGTCTTGGAAATCGCCATTCAGCACCTTCCTCAGCAAGCAGCGGAAAATCGTCTCGTCTCGTCTCCTGCTTCTTTCTAGCTTACTAGCTAGTGCGGGCTCCACGGCCGTTAAACTTCTCGTTCTCTCCTCTCTTCCTTCTTCCCAATGAACACCGATCATCATCGTTCTTTAACACAGCGAGTATTCTTTAATTACCCATGATATCGCCAATTGCTCTCGCTATCACTACCACAATATTACAGGATCAGTCACTGCCATTGCCCATTCTGACTCGAGGCCCCGAGTCTACTCTTGCAGTCTCTCTACACTACATCCTACTGTCATTTTAATCTAGTGCAAGCCAGACGAGCTTACTCCCACACCTCGTCCTCGCCATCTCTTTGAACCGTGGCCCCAGAACCCGCGTCGTCACAACTGCCACCCACTCTATCAATCGCGCTACGCCTGCGCGTTACCGGAGCTTCCCCAACGCGCCCAGATCAATCCTCCTCCTTCCAGATTCCACGAACTAAGCTCGACTGAAGCTGACACTGCTTAAGATCGAAAACTTGCTTCTTTCAAGCCCATACTCGGGATTTTAGAGATAGAGCTCATCCCCAGCTTGGACTCCCAAGCAATTGGGGATTGTTCCTCGAGTCCGGGTTTCGAGATCTAATGAACTGAAAAGATGGCTAGGTATAACAGCTTGCCTTTCCATAAAGACGATGACCCTCGTTTCAATGCCAACGCGAGACTGCTTCCCAAAAGCACACGTTCTCCGGTTGACCTACTGGACAACGATCCGAGGAATAGGTGTCGGCTAAGATTCTGCCTGCAAGTTCCGGCAGTTCGGGCTGTTGCCAGAAAGCTGAAAGCGAGGATGTGTGAAGCGAGCGCATCTACGAAGAAAGTCACAAGTTCGTGCTGCAAAATTTCGTGCTGCTGGCCTGGATCCAGATCAGGTTCGAGCACAGAGTACGAAGATGATGAGCACGATGTGAGGCCCTTGCTCTTCTTCACTGTCTCAAGAGATATTCTGGTGATGTGTAATTGCTGACTCCTCGCTACCAAGAACGATGTCACGTAACTCACATGGAAAGAGCCTGATGGAGACACTCGGAACGATCGGAACGAGGCGATCGAGTTCGAACCTCGGTCGGAGGGCAGCTCTGATCTCGTTGACTGGGAAGTGCAGCAGCTACGAGAGTTCGACGATGCCAAGTTCGTCAATGAGTACAGTAACAGCGAGTTTCCCGAAAAACAAGTAAATGGCTCCACCTGGCTACGTGAAATAAGGCAGATCTCACTTGGCAAATCTAACGGAACGATACGTAGCATGTACGTACCATGGTACAGGCCTAGGTAGTAGTATTCCCCCTCGAGGGTGCCTCGGAGTTTAGTTTCCACTTTAAAGCCCCTGGTTTCCCTACCCTCAAGGGCCCTCAAGGGGATAACAATTACCGTAGGTCGATTATTTCCTATGCCTCGAAGAAAGTGGAGTTGTATTTCCCATGCCGCAACCTACTCTTTGAGTGGGCCCGCCTAGCCAAATCTATTCGCTGCTTTATACAAGAAAAAATTTCAGTAATGCCGCTTATACTAGAATTCTGTATAATTGCAATTTTAGTATTATTATCGCGATTTGTTGAGTTACAATAGCGGAAATCTTTACTACTAACGCTGCTTTAGATGCTTTACGTATTAGAATCTTTAAACGCTACGGTATCGGTATGACAAGGAAAACATATATGCTTTAATCGTATTCGTTATATACTACGTAGTAGTAAGACCGTTGATTATGCGGACAGCGTATCTTTTGAGATTGATTCTTAAGCTAATATCTATGATTAAAAACACATATGTGTTTTTACTTCGCGATCAAGTTCAGCGCTATACCGAGATCCGTAGGTGATAGAATTGTATTTATTTATTTCTGTTAATTTTTTTTTTAAAATTTTTTTTGTCAACGTGAATAGCTTTACTATCCCCCCCCCCCCCCATGAATAAATGTCGGACCCAGTTTAGGCCCATAAATCATAGCTTAATGGCTCAAGGCCCTGTGAACTCCACTGTATAGGCTAAATACTGGCTCAAAGATACTACGCACTTTTCAAAGCTGAATCCTGATAAGTTGATTGGTTTAAGCCCTAGTAAGATCCCTTGCGAAATTATCCTTTCGACATTTAAGTATTCATGGGGGGGGGGGGATAGTAAAATTACTGTATAATCGAGAAGTTTGAAAAATTAATTCTAGTACAGTACCGGTATAAGCGGCATTGTTGAAAACAATTTCCTGTATAGAGCAGCGAGTAGATTTGGCTGGGCGGGCCCACTCCAAAAGTGGGTTGCGGCATGGGAGATACAACTCTACTTTCTTCGAGGCATGGGAAATAATCGACCGTAATACCGGTAATTACTACGTCGCAAGCGTAAGTAGGTAGTAGGTAGTAGGTATGCCTGGGACGTACTACTCTCCCCCTCCCCTTATGAATAAATGTCGGACCCAGTCTAGGCCCATAAATCGTAGAGCGGTGGTTTCTTAATGGCTCAAGGCCCTGTGAACTCCACTGTATAGACTAAATACTGGCTCAAAGATACTTTTTCAAAGCTGAATCCTTATACCACGGTACAGGCCTAAGTATTACCCCTCGAGGGTGCCTCCAAAGTCTAGTTTCCACTTTAAAACCCCTGTTTTCCGTACCCTCGAGGGGTAATACTTACGCCTGCGACGTAGTACTACTACGTAAGTTGATTGGTTTAAGCCTTGGTGAGATCTCTTGCGAAATTATACTTTCGACATTTATTCAGGGGGGGGGAGAGTAAATGATTTTCGATTCAAGGAGGGCTAAGTGAAACAAACATAGTAGTACACGTAGTAGTAGTACCGGTACTACCGGTACGTACTACCTACGTACTTCTACTCTCCCCCCCCATGAATAAATGTCGGACCCAGTTCAGGCCCATAAATCATAGAGCGGTGGCTTCTTAATGGCTTCAAGCTCTGTCGACTCCATTGTATAGACTAAATACTGGCTCAAAGATACGTAGTATAAGTTGATTGGTTTAAGCCTTGGTAAGATCCCGTGCGAAATTATACTTTCGACATTTACTGTATTCGTGGGAGGGGGTAGTGCGAGTTTAAAATTCTATTTATATCTTTTAAAACCGAAAGGATGTACTCCGTACTACTGTATGGGTAAATAATGTACAATTCTAGTCTGTGCACGCTAAACACTCGGAAAAGCTGCTTTTATTTTCTAATATTTCGTGTGGCATTAAGTGAAGGCTCTATGTTGAAAGTGCTGATTTTGGTGCAAAAAGCGGCGAATTATGATCGTTATACGTAGTACGTAATATTATTGATAGTACCTTTTGCACGAAACCCTTGTCGATAGACACCTGTACGTAGAATCGTGCACAGACGGCGTTTGTACATACTAGTAATTTCGGGCATGTAGCAAGTAAGAAGGCCTACTTAAAGTAAGCGAACCGACGGATACGTGATGCTCGTATTTTTTTATTTTTATATTTGTACTAGCGATGAAAAGTATCTATACGTTTCAAAAAGTACCGGGCCACTTGGCAATCACCATTATATAAGATCAGCAATCCCTCCTTGGATTTTCATTTTTAGCATATCCTATCATTACAGTGCTCTACCATCTTCTCTTAAGCTCAATTCGTCAAAACGATCACCTCTATTTCCCTTACCACTTCTATTATGCATTTCAACAACAACCTCCTCTTGCTCGCCTTCTTCGGCGCCGCGACCGCCCTTCGTCGAACTTGCAAGGTCGACAATATTCCGACTAAAGGCAGCGGCACCTACACCGCTAAAGGCACCGACACTTGGCGCAACATCGCGGCCGACTTCTGCACCGATTTAGGCGAGCTGGAAGCGCGAAACAATGTCTCCCCGATCAAAGAAGGAAATATTATCAGAGTTCCTTGCCGGGCTCGACCGCGCGATTGCTTGAGGATCCCGAACGAAAATGTTGGGTACTACACGGTCGCCCAAGGCGACACGATAGATAACATTGCGTCGGATTTCTGCTCCGACGCCAAAAATTTGTCGTTTTTAAACCCCGACGTGATCAAGGACAACTCGGTCAGCCAGGGCAAGGTTATCAAGGTTCCTTGCTCTTGGAACTAGCTACCTGCTGTGTCTGTACAATAAAGGCTATAACTATCCGCTCGCTCGCTCGCTTGCTTTGCCTATTGCGGGGCTGTAGGCATAGGATGGGCGACGAGATGGGTTGTTGTTGATTAGACTCTACTCTAGAGCTGGGATCTATTTAGCAATTGGATTGCTTCTCTTCTCTTTTCTCGACCATATAAGCTTGAGCTCAGTGCAGCTCGTCTTTCGGAAAGAAGGGATATGAGTGGATGGAAAACTTGAAGTCTCTCTTTATCTGAAGATATTAAGGACTTGATTTATCAATGAAAGAAAATATTATATCGACAGATCGATTCTCAACGTGACGTATCTTTACATATATGTAGAATCTCGATCACTATTATTGCTAGTCAAAGCGAGCTTGCGAAGCTTTGTATTACCGGAGAGCTCCTTCCCTTATAAGGGGGAATGTGGCCTTATGAAAAAATGCAAATAACCTTTTTTAGCGAATGGAATTGATTGGTCAGTTAAAAAGTGCGCGTGGTGACAGGAGGCAGAATCCCAAAATGGCAAGTACCGGTACTGACAATTGAAGACTAAAGATTTCGAATTTCAAATCATTCAAACAAACACGCCTCTTTAAATTCTGTGAACTCTCAATTGCGCGTATGTACCTTGGTAGGTGCACTCCCAAGCTCGCTTTGATGTTACGTAAGCTGCTTGCCATTTACGTCAACTTAGTTGATATTTATCTAGTAATTATGCTAAGTCATACAAGGACGCTTTTGATAAGCGTACCTTAAAGAGGAATGCAAGAGCTTTTAGACGGCTAGCTGATCGTTTAATAACCATCTCTTTTAAGGACGGTTTTAATAGGTTGGCATGGCTGGTGGTGGATCACCCTAGGCCGATACTTCACATCTCTTTTAGAGACGGTTTACCTACTACCTAATCGATTACCCTAAGCCGATACTTCAGATTAAATAGAATTTGAAAACAAACGATTTGAATTATTCAAACTGTAGCTAAAATAGAATTATATCATTCGGTTAAAGCGTCTTTTCTAAATGCTCGTCTTTTTGTATAAAAACCGTCTTGGGACCGTTTTCGAGCGATTTAAGACCGTCTGATGGCCGTCCGGACTAAAGCCGTCCGAGGAACTTGAATTAGTAAGCAGATAATCTTTTAATTACTTGCTAGTCTGCCTTCTATTACTTACACCATCCCCTTATTATACCACTCCTCTATCACACCACTCTTTGGCCCGCTTGAGGAGCGCCATCACACCGCTGAACTTTTGCTAACTCGATCGATGCCGATTGTAAAAAAAAACTCAAAGCGTTGATATACAAGCCGTGGCAGCGATACCGAGAAATATCTTATCATCGAATCTGTTAAATTATCATCCAAGCGAGTCCATTCAAGAAATAATTCTCATCTACAACCATATCTTTGTTAAAATAATTATCGAACTACTTTTATTTTTTAAAACGAGCTTATTAGGAAGCTTGTTTTAAAAAAAATGTTAATGAGGACAGCTGTAGGACGGCTATGGGACGGCTACAAAACGGTCTCTTTCAATGGGACGGTCTTCTCGGTAAAATGGTTTTGAAAAGAGCCGAGTGCTGGATTTAAGCGGTCCAATGGCCGTCTGTTATAGGAGAGGATCAGAGGACCATTTGACTACCCTTTAAGGTAGTGGTGATTGAGTGACTTGTATTCTCTAGAAGTAGGAATTGGGGCGAGGTTGTACCGGTATACCGGTACTGTAGGACCGGTATGGGAACCAGTGCCAAGGCCTGAGGTCGGTGCACTGCCTTGGTGGCACGTGCACCTTGCGCTCCTTCCACTTTACTTAGCAATACACGCACGCTTCAGCTAAAAGACGAGAATTAAAAGTAAGAAGGTCGATGTGTTCGCTAGAAGATAGAAACCATCAGAGAAGGAGGTAACTCCTCAACTACCTGGTCCGTGCTCTAATCCTGTCACGTGGCATGGCCCCACAACACTCCTCTGTCGAGGCCTCAAAAAGCTCTCGGCAGCACCCAATTACCCACGGAACAGGCGTAAGTATTACCCCTCGACGGTGCCTCAAAAGTTGAGTTTCCACTTTAAACCCCCTGGTTACCCGATCCTCGAGGGGCAATACTTACGCCTGGGACGTAGTACGTACAGTACAGTACGGTAGTAGTACTTAAGTAGAAATCTGCCAAGTGGTAGTAGTACCGGTAGATCGAGCCGCCGCGGTCCTTAATCAGCCCCGACGGCGCGTCGCACGACGGCCCAGCCGCAATATGCAGCCCCCCCCCGCGCCCAAGACCAACATACTAGTAGTACATACGTAGTATTTGTACCAAGTAAAGCCCCCAGAGCTCAAGGATGTCCACCCACGTGGGTCACTGGACATTGGTCTGGGATACGGTAGCGGTAAGTAGATGCGCCGGCACCAGCGCCCACTACAGTACTACGTACAGTATGCTCGCCACCACGGATGGTTGATCTAGGTACCCTCGCTGCGCCGCGATCTATCCCTCTGTGGACAGATCGACAAAGCCATTCATTCACCAGAGACCGTCCTGTATGCCTGGCACAACGTGGTGCATGCGAGACGCAAGCGAAGAACAGCCAGTGCCTTTGCACGGTCTGTGGCGATACCTTCGCACCATCTGCCGCAGTGGCAGTTTGCCCGTCGTGTATCTCTCTGCGCATGTGTAGCTAGAAAGCTGCCATTCAGTCAGCCGACACGACGCCGTTCCAGTCAGTAGGTAGATGAGCGATTGCTGTTTTTTTCTTTCGGACGTCCAGAAAGAGGGAGGGAAAGAACTGCACACGTTCGATCCAAGCTTCGGTTCGCGTAACTTCGCTTGACCCTTCCTGCCTTCCCCTCTGATACGAGACCTGTTCGTCTAGGTAAATACTCTGCCGTTCTCAATGTGTGCTTTGCTACGTATTACCCGCACCTGCAAACCACACACAGCCCACTACGTAGGAATCGAGATATCGAGAAATCTGCAGAGTAGCTAGCTAGCTGGCTTGTAGAAAGCGGATCGGTAGAATGGAAATGAAGGTAGATTGATGATTGGATATCGGTCTCCAAGTGTTTGTTCATGTAAAAGAGATAAGGGTACTTAGGTACTCTTCTTACGAGGTACGAGTGTATAGGTAGTCATGTGGTTTTTCCCACTCCTGTGACGTGACACCCTCTGTCGAGCCCGGGATTGTGGAAGGCAATAGGAGCCCGCGTCAACTGAGCCACCTACCTGACTGAAATGGGACTTCCCGGGTTCCGGAAACCCCAGAGTAGATGAGAGGGCATCGCGCGTCAAGACGGCACACACCAATCAGACCATACTCTGAAGCGAAACTGCGTCGCTTGTTTGGTTTGAAGTTTTCTTATTTTTATCATTATCTCCTGCTTGCCTATTCTCCACTTTCCAACCGCCCTTTGCTCCCAAGCTCTGGGCCTAGCCACCCGCAGACGTCTGCCTTGCGTGCCACCGTGCTGCTCTGTCCTTGAGCCACAAACCTCCACCATGTCCTGTTCAGCCCATCGAGTCTCGCTGACGTTCCCTTGCCCCAGCGAGCTCGGAAAAGAAGACCTTTCTCCACTTCTCCACCCCCTCCGTTTAAACAAAGGCTGTGTAGCAAGAACCGTGGCAGAGAGCCCCAATTCACATCACAGCAAGCAGAAATCAAAAGAAGTAGGTGCTCGGTACCTGCGTGCTCTGTGTTCGTATCGCCTTGTCTGCTGCAAAGGAGCCCGAAAGCCTAAACGCCAATGCCGAGTCTGTCGACAAAATAAAAATCCTTATGTTAGAAGGTATAAAAGCCATGTAACTATGGCCAGAAGATTATGTACGCGGCGAAAGTTTTTGTGAGAATCGTAGGTGTATGGTACGCGGGGTATCAAATGTAGGGGATGGCGGGAGATTGAATGGTGAAATGCTCTCGAAATTCGGTTTGAAAATCTTGAAGGCTGGTATGGCAGCAGGTGTGTTGATATTCAACGGCCTCCCGGATAAGCACTGTTCGGCACGGTCCCGCCACGGCCCCCTCGTCCAAAAGCACCCCGGCGGCCGCCACGGTTAGCTGGTAATTGGAAGTCCGGGTTCGAGTTCAAGAGGAGATCGTTTCGCTCGGGTGCTGGTCGTCTAGTTGGCATTGGCGCGTAGCCTGGACCACCGTTCCATCTGGGGTTTACGCCGCGTTGAGAGACAGATGTGAAGGTGGAGCGGTCGGACTCCGCGGGGCTGCGGGCGCCAGGTGCGAGATCTTCGTAAGAGCTACTGCCGTCCACGTTACTGATGGGTGGAACTGGACGCAGGTTCTGATTGGGGTATCTGGCTGGCCCTCGGGAACCGTAACCTGGTGATAGAAGGCCGGGAACTGGTGCGGTAGGGGGTTCCTCTGCGAATCTAGGATCAACATCTTCATAGTAGTGGTCCCCACTAGCTGAGCTGATGCGTTGAGACTTCACTGATGGGGAGCTTTGAAGCCCAGCTGGCTGTTGAGCGGTGGGGTTCAGTGGAGAAGATCTTCCGGCTTGGCCTTCCCATGCCTGTCGTGGTGGAACGTAGGCCCTGCTTCTGTTAGCGCTTGAAAAACGTGATTTGTCGAAAGACTTACTCGTCAGTACTGTATCTACTCGCCTCGGTGTCTACCGTTTCCCTGTTCTGAAACCTCTGTTGTTGGAGTCCGATCATACCAGCCACATCATTATCGCTTTCTCTGATGTTCCCCAGCTGACCAAAGCCGTTCGGGGCAGCCGAAAGACTTTCTGTTCTAGCATCCATTTCCACGGCTTGGCCAATTTCGGGACCATCGAGACCAGGCATCGGAGGCGGAGACTCAGCGCGAGCCAGGCTGTTTCCAGATTCATCCATATCTGGATTGTAGGCTGCGTACTGGCCGCCACTTCCATTTGCTGGGGGGATAGGAGGGGCGTATTGGCTGTATCCAGGTCCAGGTGAAGGTCTTCTTTGGCCGTATCCACCTGGCGACTGCCCTCTGTTATCATAACCACCTCTTCCAAATGCTGGAGGCCCACCTCCTCTTCCCCCTCTCATCATACCTCCTTGGCCTGGACCGCCACTGTAGGGTCCCCCGTAACCTCCTCCGCGCGGCGGTCCACCGTAACCACCCCTTTGAGGACCCCCTCGCCCATTTGGAGGATAACCGCCGCCTCTTGGTCCACCCCTGAAGCCGCCTCTTCCTCTAGAACCCATCAAATTGTCGGAGCGCTGTTGGTTCAGCGAAGGGTCAGCTGATGGATCCCGGCTTCTCATTCCATAAGCTCCAGGGGGTGCCTGCGGTATGATGTTGCCGTATTGATCCCTTCGTGGAGGGGGATCTCCCATTCTTGGAGGCCCTCCATATTTATCATTGATCCCACTTCCTGCGGCTCCATTGCCTCTGCTTGAAGAATTTTCGGAAGGAGTTCTCTGGGTCAAAGGAATCCTCTCATCACTCTGTCTTTCGGCGTCGTTCTTCGCCACCTCGAAAGTAGCAAAAGAGGGCAACTTGTCAGCTGCAGTGTGGCTGTCTACCAATAGAGTAGTGGTTGGAGGCACTGGAGCTGGTTCTGGACCTTGGCGGTTGTAGAAGTTCTCTCCGTTCATTTCTGCATTCTCCGCAATACGGCGCTTTCGCGCTTTCCTGCTAACCAAGGTTCTTCTCATTGCACACGATACAATCCCGCTAGCACCGATCAGGATCGTCGCTGCTAAGACGATGTATGAGCCCCATGCCATATGTGGAACGAAGAGAAGCACATCAATGAGAAATGAGAGCAGGGAGGCCACCAGTGTCAGAATACTGAGGATGAAGATTCCAAGGAGGTATCGTGGGGAGTGCGAAGGGGAGTGGAAATGGGCGGACGCAGCCATGACTAGCAGGATTAGGGTGAAAAAGGCCGCGACTGGGTGCACAATGAGGATAGTCGAGAGAGTCTTCCGGGTGTCATTCTTGAGATTGAAACTATCCGTTTGTTCTTTGGTGTATAGACTCTCTATTCAGTTGGTCAGATTAGCGTTTGAGCCCTTTGAGAAAGTGTAGTGGGCGGCTGTCGCAACTCGTTCCTGCAGATATCCGTCCATTACTACTCACCAGTGTCGAATCCAATCTCAATGCTGGTACATCTTGTCCCCTTGCAGTATCCAAAGACTCCAAAATCCACGCCTCCAAACGAAGCCAAAGGAATTTGTTTGATGATCGGTGTTGAGAGAACGGATATCAGAAGCAAGCAGAACGCTGCGAACAGCAATATCGTCAGGGGGGTCGCTGGCCTCAACATTCTGAAATGAGAGAATTGGCCGCGTCGGAAAGATTGTGGGTGCCGGCGTCTTCAAGACGCGGCGTTCGGAAGAAGAGTGCGATCGATGCAGGGCAGGTGGAGGAGGTAGAGTGATGTCTTAGTCGATGGGGGCTCGATACCACGCTGCTTCTTTCGCATTGACGTTCGCAGACTCGCTGATACGAAAGGCTCCAGACTCCAGAAAGGAGGGTTGTGTCTTGTCGACGAGATGGATAATTGTTGGCAGACCTGGAGAGAGGGTGAGGTCGCGTTGATGTGTTAGATTGGTAGCTGGGAAATGGGAGATGTGGAGTTTCCTTGGGTCCAAGCCCAAGCCCAAGCCCAAGCCCTTCTAATGTCACAATACTACCTAGGCTCTATTGTTGCGGCCTTTCGAATTATGGGGCCAGACGGCGGCGGTATGGTACGGTCGGATATCTTTCCTGCAGCCCTGCAGTCAGACTCGGGACGGTTCTTGTGCCTTTTCCAACGCAACGCAACGCAACGCAATCCAATCCAATCCAATCCAATCCAATTCAATCGGCCTGGGCGCAGAGGGACAACCCAGAAGACCGGACCTGGAGATGGAGCGACCTCTGATAGATGAGTATAGTGCTGAGGATGGGATGGGTAGAGGAGAGGAAGGAATAAAGCGTTTATCGTCCTCCGTCAAAGTCCCCGCGTCGTCAATTGAATGTCGATATTGAAGTTGAAGACCGGGACAATTGGTCGGAGCGGGAGTGGGAAGTATGTGGATGTGGGGCTGGCGTTCTAATCTTTATTTAATTTGTTGCTATAACTGTGAAGACTCGACTCGAATCCATTCAAAAGCTCGGCCACGCACGCATAGATTGCAAACAAAGTCACGAAAACGTCATGGTATGGTTGTTCTTGCGCTTCGATCACGAGAATACGAAGTTCACTGATCACATCCAAAGGGTAGATATCACACCAGCTGAATAAATGCGTGTATGCATTTACGGGACATCATCCAGGAAGAAGGGTCTGAATATGACCCTGAACCTGAACCTGAACCTGAACCTGAACCTGAACCTGAACCTGAACCTGAACCTGAACCTGAACCTGAACCCGAACCCGAATCCTTGTCCCATGGTGTCAATCACAGACCACTCAACTCAACCGCGACCCGCTTTCTGGAAACTCATCGGAGAGAAGAGGCTTTGATATATAACTAATTTGGTACAGACCCGGCCAGCGAAGACTTGCAGCTACCTACCTCACCAACCTCATTCTACGGACCTCGGGATTGCGAACGTCGGTTGAGGACACGGAGAGTGAAAGATGGAGAGATGCCTACCTACCTGCCTACCTGAGACTGGTTTCAAACCCTTTTGCGACGGTCACCTAGGTAGATACCGGGTTGCACTTACGACCAGTGTGGCTGGCATGTCCCTTTCCCTTTCCCTTGGCTGCAGGAAGCTTTGGCTGAAGTTGATGAATCTTGGATATGCGTTCAAGAAGACGGCAAAGCTTCTCCAGAAGCCATCAGATCAGGAGCCGAGGAGTCCAGGAGTCCAGGAGGGCAGAGAGGGAGCGAGAGCGGGAGCGGGAGCGAGAGCGAAGGAAAGGCAGAGAGTGAGAGCGACAGTAGGAGAAGCACAAGAAGGCCATCCATCCATCCACTCTTATCGGCGATAACCGCGAGCGGTGATAAGATAGATAGCTACGGTCCGCCACACATGTCGGTCGCGCACATTTGTTGGTTGACATTGCATTAGATTTATCATGCCTTGAAGCACTTCCCCGACAACCACCCAATGTCGATACCTTCGTGAAGCAATGTCACTGCGCATAGCAGGACTATGTCTGCGTATCACCAGCAGTGCATGTCGCTATCCCACTACAGCTTTGCGCCACCCTTCCCCTACGACATTCCAAACATTCCACCGAGTCTCGAGTCGCAACTTCCACCGTCATCATGGTCAACGCCCCTCAATAGCACTTGCTCGCAGGGCAATCCCCAAATCCTCCATCCGATCCATACAGAACCAACGATTCCAGTCCTTCACTCCGCCCTCTCCTGAATCCCTAGGCAAAGCTGTGCCTGCAAAACAGTTCCCTCGTTCTCTAAAATGGGGTCGTAGACTCTTCTACGTCACCGCTGTGACAGGCACCCTCTACCTTCTTGATACCCAGCTCTACGCCTCCTCTATAACGCGATCCCTTCGAACTTTTGGTCTGGGAATAGCAGTGGCGCTGGACTACAAGCTCAACTTCCGCCCCGAACCCTTTTTCGGTGGAGATATACCTAGCTTGCATAGACGCAATGCGGAGAAGCTGTTTGAGCTGCTGCACCATAATGGTGGGCTATATCTGAAGATTGGGCAGGCGATCGCCATGCAGAGTGCGGTTCTGCCGCCGGAATTCCAAAAGATGTTTGCGCGCATGTTCGACGATGCGCCGCAGAACACGTGGGCAGATGTCGAGAAAGTCATAAGGGAGGAGTTTGGTGGCAGAAGTCCCGAAGAGGTGTTTGGAGTTAGCTTCAGCAATGAGTCTGGAAGGGGGCTTATGGAGAAGAAAGCCAGGGCATCGGCGTCGGTGGCCCAGGTTCATTGGGCGAGATTGGCGGACGGGAGGGAGGTTGCTATCAAAGTGCAGAAGAGGGAGATAGCGCAACAAGTTGACTGGGATTTATGGGCTTTCAAGTAAGTCGAGCTGCTACTGTATAAGGTAGAAAAGCTAACAAGATGCAGGGTTGTGATGAGGGTCTATACTTGGTATTTTGACCTCCCATTCTACAACATGGTTCCCTACATCACCGAAAGGCTCCAGCTTGAGACAGATTTTGAGAATGAAGCCAAAAATTCAGAGGAGATGGCTAGATTAATCGCTGGCGAGCCCCGTCTTCGTGGCAGAGTCTACATTCCTGAAGTATACCGAGATCTTTCTTCCAAGCGGATCATGACTACCGAATGGATAGAGGGAGTCCGACTCTGGGACAAAGAGACTCTGACTGGGACCTGGCTCGGTGGTACTGGTCGCGGTTCTCCAGGAGTGAAAGGTACACCTCTCTTGCCCCCCAAGTCTACACGCCAAAACGACGGTACGGGGCTACTCAAACCCGAGCGTGATGAATGGAGAGGTCGCTCCGGTAAAGGTGGTCTAGGACTATCTCTGAAGCAAGTAATGACCACAATGATCGATCTCTTCTCCGCCCAGATGTTCCTCTTCGGACTGGTCCATTGCGATCCTCATCCCGGAAACATATTCATCCGCCGGCAACCCAACGGCTCCCCAGAACTCGTCCTGATCGATCATGGCCTGTACGTCTCCATGAGCCCCAAACTCCGCAGACAGTACTGCCAGTTCTGGAAAGCAATCATGACCTTTGACAACGACACCATCAGCGAGATTACCAGCGCATGGGGTGTCAAAGCCCCTGATCTCTTCGCGTCCGCTACGCTGATGCGTCCGTACACTGGCGGCGACGGTTCAACTAGAGGCCGCGTTACCGGTGAACTCAAAGGCAAGACGGCTTCCGAGCGGCATTTTGAGGTGCAAGAGCGCATGCGCCAAGGTATGCGCGAGCTCCTCGACGACGAAGAAAACTTCCCGCGCGAGCTCCTCTTCATCGGCCGCAACATGCGCATCGTGCAAGGCAATAACCAGTTTCTCGGGTCGCCCGTCAACCGGATCAAGATGACCGGCTGGTGGGCGAGCCGGAGTCTCGTGGACGATACTGGGCTTGGGTGGAGAGAGCGATGGGCAAACGCTTGGCGGCACCTGCTGTTCCGGTTCGTGCTGCTGGGGAGTGACTTTGTGTTCTTGGGGAGTAAGGTAAGGCAAATGCTGGGGTGGGGAGGGGGCATGGAGGATGAGCTGGAGAAGCAGATGCGGTATATTGCGAAGGATCAGTTTGGGGTTGAGCTGCAGCATGCCATTTTCGAGGGTTGAATGGGGAGTGGGTGTACGATGAGAGCGCGGTTCGTCATTGCATTGCGCGGTGCATTGATAGATAGATAAATGGGTGATAAATACGTTGGTTCTATGGCATTAAGAGGTATCCAACCCATCAATCAATCAACTCTGACCGAGCTCCAAGCCTTGTACCCCCCTTTGCAGTCGACAGAAGCAAGATAGTGCAGAGTCTCAGAGTCTCAAGTTCCCTTTCCATCAAGGCTATAAAAGGGATACCTATAATCGTTCCCACGCAGTACTGGAACCCATTTACACCTCGGAATTCATGCCGGTTTCCACATAGTCCGAACAACCGCCCGCAAATCTAATGAACCTCATCTCGATCCATCTCATCTCATTTCACGCCCAGATAAGAAATAGGGAAATAAACCAAGAACTTGATTTTTCTCGTGGCCCTTACTTCAAAGTATATTTCTTTTACCGATCATATTTTCTCCTCCTCTCCACAAATAAAACGAAATAGAAAGAGAGAGAGAGAGAGACAGAGAAAGAGAGAGAGAGAAATATTAAAGAGAAAATCCTCCAACGAGCTCACCCACCCAAAGGAAGGCCAATAAACAGCGTTGAAAAGAAAAAAAAAAGAGATTGGAAATCTAATATCCAAAACGTATTTTATTCGATTTTTTCTATACTGCCATCCCATCCCATCCCATCTCACCTCGCGCCTCCCATCAGCCATCCACCACTCGTTAACACACCTTGAAAAAAAAAAAAAAAAGGCGGACGATATCCGTAAAGTAATGTAGGTACCTAGGTAGGTAATGTACCCGCCCGCTCGCTTAGACCCCACCCCACTTCACTTGCCCAGCGCACAGCACCGGGATTCTGGCTTGCTAATTATATATCCGTCTTCTTCTCCCCGCCTTCGTACAAAAGGCGACTTGGCGGAGTGGTTAACGCGATAGACTAGAAATCTATTTCTTTCGGGAGCGTAGGTTCAAATCCTGCAGTCGTCGACATACATCCACCTTTTTGCCATTTTTTTTCACTGTCGTGGTTGCCTCTCTCCGTTCAGCCGTGGTTGTGTGCTGAGATTATCTTTTTTATTTTTCTTTAATTTTTTTTTTTTTTTTTTTAAAAAAATTGCCTTTGCGGCTCGTGGGGTTGGGTTGGGTTGATATCCATGTAAGTATCACCCACCCACCCAAGCCGAAGTTTTCTGCAATGTCACTTACTATGTCTGGAAATGGGAACAGTCGAAGAATGGCTGTTGGGACTGATATCTGGGGCGAATTGTAGAAATTCTGTTCTTGGGGTGCTCGTCCGGTCCTAGTAGAAGTGCTCCACTACCTACCTCATTGCCGGGCTAAGTACAGAGGTCAGCCACACAGCACCGCGAGAAATTCGACGATTCAAGACCTCCATTACTATGGAAAGAGGACATTACTCCTCAAGATTATGTATTCATACAGCCAACCGGCTCGAATCACCTGCGCCTAAGGCACAGGAGGGAGGAAAAAATCAATAGAAACGAGTGGTATGCGCCTTCGCTGTGCTCCGAATCCCTGACCCATCCTCCCAAATTTGCCCCTTCCGCCACACCCATCCAATAAAATAAGTACCCTCCATCTATCGTTCGTCATCGATCTCGGTCCTCCTGTGGTGGCTGCGGACTCCGAGATGAGGAGCCAAGACTGTTCGCCAGTAGAGCGCGCCAGCTGCTTGCCTGCTGGCTTCTTCGTGGTCGCGTGGGCGATGCTTGCTCGACGTCGTTGCTGCCGAAGCTGCCCGCTATGGGTAGGGCGGATGACGAAGGCTCGTCTACGGTTTCTGCGGCTTCAACTTGGGCGTCGTCGTCGCTGTCGTCGTGGTAAGGCTCGTAGCGTGGGCCTGCTGGAGAGCCCCTCGCAAGAGAGCGCACGACGTCGCCTTTACAGATAGGACACGTTCGGCGTCGTTTAGTCAGCCAGGGCGTACTAGGGATTGTCAGTGGAGTTCGGAAAGAGAGATACGGACATACTTACATGCAATCCGCGTGGAATTCGTGACCACATGGTAGACTCATCACACGGCTGACACCATCGACGTACTCCTCAAGACAGACAACACACTCGACCTGCTTGCTCATGTGCTTCTTCCATTCGCTAGACTCGCTTGCATTTTTCTCGTGCTCTGGTGCTCGAGGCGGTATCGCTGGCATTTGTAAAGGACTCGAGTTTATTCGCACCAAGTCTCCTGGTTCTGGTATCCCAGTTGTAGTCCTCGATCTCGGACGCGGCCTACTAGGTGGCGAGCTTGAAAGGAGTGGAGTGTTGGCCGAGGAGCTACTTGGACTTGGAGTTCTGGGCGAAGCGCTACCAGATGGGAGTACTGTTTGGTAGGTTCTAACTGGCAGTCTTTCGACCACAGATTTTGGTGCCCTCCATCGACGGCGCCGTATTCGTGACCTGATCAAAAGGAGAGCGTAAACAATAGTCAAAGTGACCAATGGACTCACGACTAAAACCAACAGTGTATCTAGGAATGGACTCGCTCCACTTGTTGGCGTCAATGTGACCCATAATCCTTCATCTTCGCTATCACCGTCTTCGTATTCTTCGCCTGCTTCTTCCAGCTCTGCCTTTTCGCTCGGTAAGAACTCGACATTCTCCTCATCATCTCCAAAAATGGTTGTAAGTATGCCTTTCGACTTGCCATCAGCGAAGAGAGACTCTGTCTGAGGCTCATTCTCTTGCTGGGCTTGTTCTCCTCCCGTGTTCTTTGCTTTGTACTCCCCACTTCCCGGTGTGATGCTGCCGCCCCTAAGCGGTGGAAGGAAGTCCGGAATTTCTTGAAGAGCGCCACCAAGATGCTTCTTGCCAGACTTGCTTAGAACCGGAGATCTCTCGGTTGCCACATCTGAAATTCCATTAGGCTTCGATGGAAGCACCTTCTTGCCACCATCAGCATCCTTCACCCTCGGCTCTCCAACAAGGTCCGGATCACGCCAATCTTGAACGCCAATCACGAAATCATCACCAGAGTTTCCTTTGGAAGCCGGGTTTGGGTCTGGTACAGCGATATTATCCTCGATCTTCTGACTGGTATCCGTTGAAATCTTCTTGGTCTTTGGCTCGTCATCATCTTTCCATTCGTCAACAAGAACCCAGCCAAGTCGCCCACTACTTGGTGGACGACTGGCTTCTGACTTGGATCCTTTGCCGGGACCGAAGAACAGAGACTTGAGCCACCCTGGCTTGTCGACTGATTTCTCGGAAGTCTCCTCTTTCGTCTTTTGGGAAGGCTTCTTGTGTCCCGCCTTCGAAGCTATTCGAGTGACCCCAGTCGCTCTTGGAAAAGCAGTCGTAGGGGTAAAATTTGGCCTGGAATCCTGATAGCTTCCTCCTTTCTTCTTATCCGTATGCTGGACCTTCAGGGCTGGTTTCCCAGTCTCATCGATTACATCTTGGATGGATCTTCCCGGCCCAATCAGAGACGATAAAAGATGTGCTGTAGTCCTCGACGTGAAGATAGATGGTATCGTGACGTTTGATGTATCCCCTCGAGCATACATCTGAATCAACGGTCCGCCTGGCTGATTATCACCTACCATCAGAGCAATTGCCCCTCTCCTCTGTGCCCATTTGACCTTCTCCAGAAATCCACATCCACCTCGGCTCAGAAGCACAATCTTTCCCGCAATTTCAGCCCCTTCTTGTATTGATTGGATATCCGCGTGGTCCCCTTTCACCTCCGCAGAGTTCTTCGCATTCGGCTTTGAAACCGTCGACTCTGGTAAGGGGTGGTGGAGGTAGTCGTCGGTACCATCATCCGCAAGGGGCCTCGGCTCCCTATCTTTCGCACCAGAAATGCCTTCTTCCTGCTCGGTCCGGTCACCGAATGGGCCGTCCTCGTCGCTTGACCGTTTTTGCGGCTTTTGCTTCCCCGCAGTTGTCGCAGTCTTTCCGTCTGTCGATTTGCCAACTTCGGATGTCAACGCGCTCAACCTTAGATAGTCGTCTCCCCAGCCAGGCACATCACTGCAGCCTAGTTCTCCCTCAGCGGCAGCAGAAATCGCACCTTGCCGTGTGCCATCGTCTCCAAAGCCGCTCCCTATCCACACTTGTCCCTTGAGACCATCTGGCGGAAGCAGCGGGCCGAAGTTCGCAGGTCGTGCTAAGAAAGCAGTCGTGTTATCGTGCGTCAAAGTTATAATAGCATTCGGTGGAAATAGAGAAAAGGGCGTTCGGAATGAGAAGAAGGACTGTACGCCGGAAGTTTTCGCCACTGTAGGAAGGTTTGAAGGTATCTTAGACGGCGCGTGAGATGATCGAAGAGAAAGAAACGTCAAGAGCAGCGTGGTCATGAAGAAGGCCACGGCTATAACAACTCTCGGAGGTCGCATGTTGGAATAGAGTACGGATGTCGTGGGCACCTAATCAGCTCTGCGGCTGCACAACCAAGCGAAAGGTCGCATCCAACGTAGCAAAGGACCGGTCAAGTTTAGAATATCAATCTCGAATCGAGGCGGATCCGGGATCCGGCTGGTCTAGGAGAGGAGGGTCGTTATCGTTGTTGTTGCTGTTATATTTGTCGTCGTCGTCGCCGCCCCGCGCGCCACGCGGAAGCCGTAGCTTAGGGAAATTTGATATGATTGGGGAAGACCAGGATTCAGCGTTGACAGCGCAAACATCCGACTCCTCGGACTATTAAAATTTCCTGATGTCCTATATCATGACTTCGAGGAAAGGGTTTCTAGTCATGATTGCTTCGAGCCGCTCCCTCTAATTACGTTACAAAGCTAAGGGTGTATTTGGCTCACAGTTGCAGGTCCGTGCAACTGAGCAGTTGAGTTGATCCTAAACAGGATCAACTCAACTTGACAGTAAAAGTTGCACGGACCAAGGCCTGTTTGGCTCGCAATTAGCAAATTGAATAGCGGGACACCTAGCAAGGCGGGACAATAATGGCATACCACTTATCAAACAATAATTATTATTATAAAAAAGAAAAAAAATCTTTATATGCTTAGAAAATTTTGCTTTACAAACGTGAATTAAAATTATAAAAATGCATTTATTTGTGATAATCTAATACATTAAAATGTAATGAAAAAATGGTCAAAAACTGTCTTAAATAATTCAAATTTATTTGTTTGTTGCGAATATTTCAATAATTATAACCTTAATTTAAAAAAAAGTTATATAGATCGAAAATAAATGATTTCATATATTATATTATTAAAAATATAAATTATTAAATTAAAGTTAATAGTGATGCACGTATTTTTTTGATAGATTTGAATAAAAGTTCGATTTTCGTATTCCTCGCTTATTCTAATATATACGCAGCAATTCTGATATATACGCATTATTAAAATCGAAAAGTATATATCAAAAGTATTATTTTTACTACTTTAATTCAATATAATAAAAGAATAATAACTTGTAATTAAAACTCAGTTAAGTGATTAATGTCAAACTTAATATAGCGCATCGTTTTATACAAAGATAATTATTATATAATAGTTAGTTGATTTTTTTATTTATTAAAAAAGAGCAAATTTTATTATCCCGCTTTGCTGGGTGTCCCGCCTTGGTAATGCCGACTTAATTCGTTATTACAATTATTAATTATTTATTAATGCAACAAACTCGATCGAGTATTTCGAAGTTTAGGTCTTGAATGTATCGAAATCCTTTTCGAGTAACTCTTAAGTTATTCTTGATTCGTAGTCAGTGGCTTATAAGAAGCTCTTTTATTTATTAAAAGCTTGTCCTAATCGTCCGCTGTATTGAAAGTCTGAGCGCCCTGTTATTCAAGAAGTCCTTCAATATTCCAACTCGACCAAGAAACACTGGCGCCCGAATTATCTAATACTTCTTTCTCTGTTTCATAGCAGATAGCCGTTAAATATAAATCATCATCTCTTAATACATCAGTTGGTATAACCATTTGCAACCTCCAAGTTTCATGATGGACCCAGGAGAAGCGTAGCGCTTTCTTAGGGTTTTCCATCTTCAATGCGATGTATTCCAAGATGACTTCTTCGTCTCCGGTCCGTAACTTCTTTTCTTCAACCGCACTATAGTAACTCTTTTTGTAATATTGAACGTCTGGGATGTATATTTTTTGCGCCGCTGCAATCTTTCCACTATCCGCTTCGATAGCGCAAAGCCAATCCGATGGTCTAACCGGCCCGAAAGTAATTGCCTCCGCTAGTTGAAGTGTTAGCTCCGCGAAATAAGTAACGATCTATGAATATAGATCAACTTACCTACGTATAAGCCACTTCCTAGTATAGGAGGGAGCCAATAGCCCTGGTATGCTGCTTCGTAAGATGGTATATTGTCCTGATTAATAACTTCGGCTTCTTCCTAATAATTCGAGTTATCAATATAAGCTCTATGCTATTTACCTAGTCGGATGATTAAATCAAGTGAAACATACTCTGCTAACTGTTCGATAGCCGATGATTTCTCTTCCTTCTACAGGAGGAAATGCTTGAGCTCTTTTAGAGAGAAAGCTCAAGGCCAGCAAGATTGCGCAAATGGACTTCAAATGTGGCATCGTATAATGTATTGATAAATATCCGGAGTAGTTTTAAGACTTGCAGAAGAAGAGAATGATGAATTGAACATAAGGTAGGTGCAGGAAGATATATATCTCTCTTTGATTGATTCTATCCAATATCATATTCATTTTACTAATAATAGTGACCGTAATCAAAATTTTCTACGTCGGCCATAAATAGTCGTGCGGCTAATATTAGTCAGGATTCAGTGGACCGATTGTGAACCTGCTCCACAAATTGGTGTACTGATTACCTATTAAATTTGTCCTTTTATTCTTGTATCGAAGATCATCTTAGAAATGAAGTTGAATTCACGCTTAGCTGGCTATTTATTATATTGCAATCCTTTTTTTCTGGTTTGAAAAGATCATGCTTATAACAGAGGCAACACAGGGTATGCAAAAGCAAAGGAATAATACTGGACAACAGGTCTTGGGGTGTGATTTTTGTACGAGGTGTCAAGGAAATAGATGCCGGGGCTGAGGACTGTACTGTACCTACTCTGTCCACGTGCTGCTTCGTGACCATAAACAGCTGTTTATATCGGCTGAAAATCTCATCTCCAGTCTTAAAGATCAAAGTTGGAGGTGAAAGTTGAAGTTCACAATCATCATGGGAATGCCTCGTGTGGGAATAGGGCCGGTGCTAAAATTGGTCAGGAGCTTGATCCAACATCCATCTTCCTTTGTTCTTGAACCCTTCATATATATATATATATATATATATATATATATATGTGTGTGTGTGTGTGTATATATGGTGTATACTACCACATCTCCTGCAAGCCTGCAAGGCTGGCACAAGGCCTTCATACATACATACCCATATCAACATGCAAATACTCCATCTGGAAGACCATTTTCGGCATCTCCCACTTTCCTGCAACTATTTGGCATTGAACTGATATCTAGCTATCAGTTGCCAGATCACAGCTCAGACCCCAAAGCTGTCTGCTCTTGCATCTGTGGGCATACCACCTGAGATAGCGTCCACTTCCCAGCATATGAACTGGAAGGTTGTCATTCGGTTCAGCCCATGTTTTTACAGGATTTACGGAGTATCGCCCAGTCCATGCTCACCGCACCTACCTAGATTTGAAGGGCCAACCAACACCCCTTCTCCTGTCACCCTTCTCGGTTGAAGGTTCGTCATCGGTTGACTGAAAAGCTGGCCGGTGGGCTCGTAGAAGACTGAATGTCAAGGCTGGAAAGGCTTTCTCGGTGTTATCTTCCTCGCATCAGACAGCCTCGATCTTCAAAGACATATCTAGCTTCGGTAGTATTTCCAATGACATGAGGCTACAGCTAGGCCACACAAGTATTCTTATCTGGAATTCACGCCGATCTAGATCAATTCAGTAAGCATGCAGTTTACACGTAAACCCGATGTCTACCTTGTATTCTATATAGTGGTTAATCTTTGTCCAAAGAAAATCAGCGGACACCAAATTCACACGTGTTATCCGGGTGCAGCAGAGCCTAGAGTAGCCACACATACTTGGCTACTTCAATGGCCTCTGCTGGGTGCAGGATTCTGGGCATCCATCTGAGCTATGCTGCAAAATCCGTACCCACATCCAAGAGTCTTTCTGTGGAAAATTTACCAAGCCTATTCGACCCATTTTGACTTACTGTCGCCACAGTGGCGAACTGACGAGCACAGCTAGCGAACAGAGAGATCAACATTTAAGCGAGCACGGAACCCAGCCACCGATGCGTCTACCTCAGAGCTACTCCGCATTCTAACTTCTTATCTACGCAGGCGCTTTGTTCGGCTGCGATGCTCTCTCAAAGCGGATCTCTTCGTCGGTGCCCATTTCAACGCTCCGATCAGGGACCTGTCTAGACTTCGACGGAGTGCTTACTAGCTCCCGTGTGAAGCTATATACGGCAATTCTCCAGCCATAAAGCCACAGTCCGTCATGGTTTGTCTTCTACCTTTGCCTAGAGTGTAGCTCTGAACAATGACGCTCAAGGGCCGAGGGCATGTATCTAGAGAGCTGCCTCTGCCTTAAAGCCAAAGTATATTTTTTTCCTGGTCGCAGAGATTTTGTATTGTATTTCCTTTCCAGAAATTACATCTCAGCTTTTTAATCTCGTCATATTTCCCTGCATATTCTCTTCCGGGCTTGACTCCCCTTCCACTATGAATATCAACGAGCCTCAGCAGGGAACTGGCATCGTACTACCATTCTTCAACAAGCGTGAGAGATCATCTGTTGGGGGACCTGTGAAAAGTAGGACGAGCTCCCTAAAATCAAATCGTCTCCCATTCATCGGCTGGATACCAGGTACCGTATGCCATCCCCCTTCCCCTGCAGAAGCATCTCAGTAGCTAATCCTAACCGTCAGGCTCGAAACCATCTTGTCGCTACCATAGCAGAATTCACTGGCACGACGATGTTTCTCATGTTCGCCTTCGCAGGGACTCAAGTAGCGCTCCTCGCTCATCCCGCGCAGCCAAATGTCATTGGAGCCGTCAGCGACGTCAACCAGCTCCTCTACATCTCGCTGTGTTTTGGATTCTCTCTTGCCGTCAATGCTTGGGTATTCTTCCGCATCAGCGGAGGACTGTTCAACCCAGCTGTAAGCCACCACCTATCCCAAGAAGCTCTCGAATCCGCTGATTATGTGAATGAAGGTGACGCTCGGAATGTGTCTCGTCGGAGCTCTGCCGTATATACGCGGAGCATGTCTTACCTTCGCCCAGATCCTAGGCGGCATCACCGCAGCTGCGATCGTCTCTGCACTGCTCCCAGGTCCGCTCACGGTCCGTACCGGTCTGGGTGGGGGCACAAGCGTCGTGCAAGGGCTATTCATCGAGATGTTCTTGACAGCTCTACTCGTCTTCACCATTTTCATGTTAGCAGCGGAGAAACACAAGGGAACGTTCATTGCCCCCATCGGCATCGGACTCGCTCTCTTCATTGCCGAGCTGATGGGTAAGCACCCTCCCTATCTCTCTTTCTCTCTCCCTCTCTCTCTCTCTGTTATCGAAACCATCACATAACAATGCTAATCAAGTATACAGGCGTCTACTACACAGGCGGCTCCGTAAACCCCGCCCGCTCCTTCGGACCCTCAGTCGTGAGCCGTGAATTCCACTCCTACCACTGGATCTACTGGGTCGGCCCCATCCTCGGCTCCATCGTCGCCTCAGGCTTCTACCTCCTGATGAAGATGCTCGAGTACGAGACCGCCAACCCCGGACAGGATAGCGCCGTGCCCGAGGGCGAGCGCTTCAACCCAGACCTCGAGCGCGGCAGCACCGCCCGGGTTTCCTTCGCGCCCGGGGACTACGCCATCGCCACCAAACCTGCTGCTGCTGCGGCGGCGGCGGCGGCGGCGGACGGCCGGCACGGCGCCCCGAAGGAATACGGGACTGCCAGCCGACCGTTCAGCGATAGTCCCGCGCCGCCGCACCCCAACGACCAGTATTGCGGGCTGGCGGACGACAGTACGCACGGTCACGAGGTTTTCAAGCCGCTGCATGCTAGCGCGTCGGATATGACGCTGACGTCGTCGATCTCGATCCCGGGCTCGCCGACGAGGATCATGATGCCGCCCGGGCAGCCGGCGCACAAGTCGGCGATCAAGCCTGGGAGTAGAGGCCAGGGGGGAACGGCGCATGAGAGTTCCATGAGGTCGAATACGTATCAGAACCGCATCATGGCGGCTGGGAACCATGACAGTGAGGAGTTTGGTGAGAAGGATTGAGTCAAGGTCAGGTAAGGTAAGGTAACAGGGTGGTTGGTTGCGGACGAATTCAACGAATCTCATTTGCAATGATTTGCTATCAGAACACAGCCAGCGCAGCGGTTAGAGTATAGCGTTGGTACGTTTACTACTGGTGCGTGACGCAGCGTAACGAAGTTAAGGAAGGTACCGCTATCCATAACATAACATAGCACAGTCAAGACCTTACACCTACATAGGTAGGTACATTCCTGTATTTCCAATTCTCAAAACAACACTTCTTTCTCCAGAAATACTTCCTCACAGCCCAGTATACTCACCTACCTACCCATCATCCTAAATCCCCCCTGCATAAAACAAAGGAAAGTGAGTCGACGCAGCTAGCCAGCAATACTCGATCCAGGTGTGGCCACTACCGCACACATACATCAGCGCCCAATTCTCAACTCACCATCTCCAGAGTCCGAATTTCCAGACTAGAACGCTAATTGGTAAGCTGTGTAATATATGATGTGATGTACATCAAGACCAAGAATCGAGAGAAGAGGGAGATGTGGGAGAAGTGGGTTGGAGGGGAGCGCGACGCTTGAACTCTCTCGTCGCTCGTGAAGAGTTACCTACATACATACATACATACCTATTTGGAAAAGAGAATGCTGAGCAACAAAGGACCAGAGCCAGAAACTTAAAGCAGCAGCAAGAGGATATTTTGTCGTATTGTGGTTCGTATCGCGTAAATTCCGTATCATTGGCATTGATACCGCTATCCATCCTCCTGTTCATTTCACAAATCATTTAGACCTTCCCAACCCCCCACCCCTTGCTAAGCGTCAGCCCGGTATTCAGATACACGATCGTCACAAATAAAACCGCAGCCGCAAGCCTGAAAATCCCCAGGTCGCTCAACCACACCGCGCCCTCCCTCCTCTTCAACACATCTAGCCCGCTAGTCTCCTTTCCCTGTCTCACACCCTCATCTCTCACCAGGCTCTCCTTGCCTGCCCACGGGATCCCCTCGCCTCTTTCACTCAAGATCATTTCCGTAGTGATCTTAGCACCCGCAAGCACGATCGGGACACCAGTACCCGGATGCGTGCTCGCGCCGACGAAGTACACGCCCTCGATCTTAGGGTGTTTGATCTTCGGTCTGAAAGCCAGGACATTGAAGAAGCTGTGCGAGAGGCCTAGGATACAGCCTTTGTCTAGGTTGAAGCGCTCTTCCCAGCTCGTAGGGGTATTGAGCTCCTCGTGCACGATCAATGGGGCGAGGGGCGCACAGTTGGTGCGTTGCTCGATAGTGCCGATGATGGTTTGGCGGGCGGACGAGACGATGGCGTCCCAGTCCTGTTCCGGGAGGAGACCTGGGCCGGAATCGGCTTGAGAGGTGGATGTAGCGGAGTTGAGCAGGTGGCCAACGGGGACGAGGACCACTAAGGCGTCTTTGCCTTCAGGTGCTGCTGTTGGATCGATGCGTGAGGGCACGTTGACGTAAAAGGACGGGTCATCTGGGATACCCTGCCTGGCGAATATGGAGTCGAAGGACTCGCGATACTCGTCTGCAAGGAAGATGTTGTGCGTGTTGAGCTCAGGGACGGTTTGGGAGAGGGCCCAGTAGAAGGAGATGGAGCTGCACGAGCCGTCTCGCTTTTGTAGGCTCTTAGCGTAGGATTTGGAGCTGGATGTTGTGTGTGGGAAGAGGTTGTTATAGGCGTATACCAGATCCGCATTTACAACGACCAAGTCAGCCTCTACCCTTTCTCCGCTCTCGAGCTCGACGCCTGTCGTTCGTTTCCCATCCTCAGTTGTAAGAACACATCTTACAGGAGTATTCAGGCGCATTTGGACCCCTAACCTCCCACAAATCCCCACCAGTGCCTGCACCACCGCATGAAAGCCTCCGACTGGATACCAGATCCCCTCTGCCAGCTCCGTATACTGCAGCAAGCTATAGGTGCCCGGCGCATCAAACGGGCTCATCCCCATATACATGCTCCCAAAAGTGAACACCCTCCTGAGTCTCTCACTCCAAAAGTACTTTGCGGCCCTGGAATAGATACTCTCAAACGGATGCAACTGCACCAGATGCCTCAAGAAACTCGGCCGCAACAAATTAAACACACTCGTAAAGTTCTTATGCAGCACCTCCCGCACGCTAATCTCATAATGCCTATGCGCCTCCCCTAGCCACTGCAGGTAGCGCTCGAAGCCCGCCTTGCCCTCCCACTTCTCAATCTCGCGCTTCATAACCGCCATGTCGCTGCTGAGCTCAAAGTTCGCGCCGTCACCAAACCACATGCGGTAGTTGGGCTCGCATTTCAGCAGCGCGACACCTTCGGCTTCGAGCGAGGTCGAGAGATCGTGGAAGGTCTCTGCGAAGAGCTTGGGGAGCAGGAGGAGGGAGGGCCCTTGGTCGAAGCGGTACCCGTCATGGGTGATCAGGGAACAACGGCCGCCGGTAAAGCTGTTCTTCTCGAGCACGGTAACGGAGTAGCCGGCTTTGGCGAGGCGGGCTGCTGTTGCTATACCGCCAACTCCTGCGCCTGTTATATATCTGTGTGTTAGAAGGGTGTTGGTTGAAGCTTGGATCCGGAAAGAGGAGGGGTCAGGTCCGCGGGGGAGCTTTGCTTACCGACGACGATGGCCGTTTTCTTCCTGTCGGACGAAGCCATTGAAGGTTGAGAGATAGTTTTAGAAGCTGCAGCAGTACGAGGACTGGCAGATGGGCAAGATAAGTCTCGTTTACATGTTGGCGGATGGTTAGAATTCCGGGTCTAGTGCATTTGTTATCAAGGGACGAATCATGACGTCGGGACATGGAGTATCCAGCCATTTGGTGCAGGGCTCACAACATGGTCTGAGGTCTCAGCCGATGGTCTACCTACTCCCAAGAGACAGCTCCGGTCACGATAGTCAATTATGAGACGAAATTTTTCGGCCTCTCAGTAGTACCTATGGCCTTCTCATTACCCACCATTCAAAGCGCTCCAAGCTACCCTTAGTCTCCGAAGTTTCGGGACCGTAGCTTTCCCTTCTTTTGCTCGATATTCCTTCTCAGACAGCACTCTACCGATTTCCATGTAACTCTCCACCGCTACCCTCATGGGAGCCCGCGCATCAACCGGGAGCTGAGATATGGCACCAATTGCTTCTCGATAAACGCTAAATGCCTTCTCCAGTAGTCTCCCTCTCAGTGCCTCTATTTCCGGGCGATCCGGTGTTTTCACAATATCCTCCGGGCTAAGCCCATCTGCTCTGAGCCAAGATGTTGGGAGGTAGACTCTCCCCATGGCTGCATCTGTTGCAATATCGCGAGAAATATTGATATACTGCAATGCGATTCCCATCCTACTTCCAGCACGCACTAAGTGGTCTTGCTGAGCCGGCGTAGTTTTGTTGTAGCTATGGAAGAAGACCAGCTCGAGACATAGCTCTGCCACGGTTCCAGCGACTCGTGCTGCGTAGACATCCAAATCCCGCTCGTCCTCGATGGGGAACTTCCGATCTGCTTTGGAAGAGTCCTTTTCGGGGAACTTGAGATCAGTCTTGAACCCTTCCAGCAAATCATAGAGGGGTCCAAAAGAGAGGAGATGAGTCGAAAGGAGGCGCAAAGTCCGTTGTGCAGATTCCGGGAAGTTTTCCGTGATGTACGAGTGGAGACTTGGTTGTTTTTGGACGATTTTGGCCTCCTTGGAAACATAGGCTCTATCCAGATAGTGAGTGAGTTTCACGATCCACTGTCGTGCTTCAACTTCCGAGCTCGCATTATCCACTAGATCATCGGAAACTCGACAGAAAGAATAGCTGTACTGCATCAGCTTAGCACGATTATGTGATATCCAGGCACTCACAGGATGATGAGATCAATCCGAAGCCGCCCCGAAAATGCGGAGCTGGCGAGATAGAAACTTCTACTCTTCTTCTTGAGTCTTTCCACAGCCTGCTGGATCCCAATGACCCTTTCCATGTCATATTCCGTCTCGTTGGTGAGGAGAGCCTTGACAAGCATGAATGGCGAAGGCAGCTCCGGCACTGTGGGAAACAGCCTCGGGAAAGTTAATAGAATCGCCAAAGCATGGTCGAAAGCCACCATCCCAAATACAACCAGGGTGTTGGTAGCCAAGAAGAAGACAGCCTCTTCAATTTCCAGGCCATCCCAAAGGTGTACGCCAAGCTTAGTCCCAGATTCAATGGTCCAGGTCCCTCTCTTCAAGGCCAGAGTATCTACTATCCAAAGGTAGAAGGTGGGAATCGCAATTGGCGCAAGTGTGCTGGTGTATGGAAGATCGAGTAGGAATCGAGACGAAAGCGACCAGAGGAGGAGCGCAAATGGTCCTGCCCATACTAAGATCAATCCCAAGTATGTTCCTCCATTTCCTCTCCAGACCAAAGCTCCCCCAGCCACAATTAAGATCGCAATCGCTAAATGTCCCAGATTCCATGAAACGTTAGACCCGGTTTTGTTCCGGGGGCCCAGGTAGCTCGGATGGAAGACGAACTTGCTGAGTAGCAGATACAAGAGCGAGGTATTGTAAGTCTGAATTATAAAGAAGAACACTTCCTCAGCCGGGATTGAGTACAGGGTTGGTCCAACGATAACGTGCGGTGGGTAGGTCCAAACTTTGCGCCGGATAAGATATGAGTCCCATGGGATTGTTGAGACGACAGCGATGGAGACCAGGAAGGCAACCTTGTACAGGTCTATGCGGTGGAGGAAGGGCCAGTAAACGAAAGTCAGGGCGATGCCAGGAGGGATGGTGTACTTGAGATGCCTGGGAGAGGTATCAGCTCAAGTGTCCCTGGTCCAGTAGCAACAGCAACAGCGACAGAAATTGAGAGCATCAATCGACCTAATTGACTCAACTCACACGAGGGCATATTCGAAGCCCATGGCTGTACGGACGTCGCCTTCGCTTTCCGCTACTACAGATATTCACAAGACCCTTGAGGCATCACAGAGGAGTGAAAGGAAAGGAACGAGTGGGGAGACAGAGCCAGAGACGACGATGTCGATGTCGATGTCGATGTCGATATCGATGTCGATCGTGGTACGGGTGAAGGTTCGGGAGATTCAGCGCTGAGCGCTGCTGAAGCTTTCCTTTCCTTTCTCAGTCCGGTTCGGATGTGGGGATAGATGGATGACACGGCACTCGGCGTCGGCGAGGCTGCATCCGAGATCCAGGAGGAGAAGATGAAGCCAACCAATCATGATCAGGGGGAGAGAAGGCTGAGAAATGGCCACAGACTGGACTTACGGTAGGTACCGGTACGACACTGCTTTGCTCTGCCTCTGCTTTCCGTACTGCGGGGGAGACGAAACCCTGGCTGCCCTGGCTGCCCTGCTACTGTACTCTGCCCCCGGTCGATGATGACATTTAGTAGTATTTGCCGATCCGGATAAAAGCTTGGCCGGATGAAGCATTGGCTCCGTGTGTACCGTACGGATACGCGTGACCAAAATGTACAAGGGCAAGCTGCTGCAGATTCACCCTCTCATTGGCCAATGTGTGTCATGCCTTTCGTCATACTCTACTGTACGGAGTATAGCTGGTACAGGTAACCGGTACAGCAGGTGCGGAACGGAGAAGAGAGATGTATTGAATCGAGAAGCACATTTCTGGAGAGCTACCCATACCACCAGCGCGCCAAGGGTGCAAGCAGGACATCCCGGTCCGCCACCCATTCGAGATGTCGTCGTGCAATTCTGGCTTGCTTCCCGCTCTCTCCGTGCATTGTTACTTTGGTATGCATATACAGCCAGACACTTAACCTCCTCTTCCTCTCTTTTTCCCTCCTCCTCCTCCTCCTCCTCCTCCGTCTCCTCATCACACCCATGACTGTCGTCAAGGAGAAGCAGACCAGGTCGGCGAGACCTCATCCTTACCTCCACGGCAACTTCGCCCCCATTCACCGAGTCCTGCCCCTCACTCCATGTTCGTATACCGGCTCCATCCCGGACGAGCTCGCGGGTGGAGAGTATGTTCGAAATGGAGGAAATCCGGTGACAAACGAAGATCTGGGGAGAGATGCACATTGGTTCGACGGAGATGGGATGTTGAGTGGGGTTGCGTTTCAGAGAGGAGCAGATGGATCGATACGCCCAGCTTTCGTCAACCAGTACATTCTTACGGATGCCTACCTTTCGACCGTCTCTTCGCCGTCTCTTCGGCTTCCCATTTTACCAAGCATAGCAACACTTGTCAATCCAGCTTCTACCTTGCTGCGAATCATCCTCCGCATTTTCAGAACTCTGTCCCTGGTCTTCATTTCCCATCTCCCAGGCTCAGAGCAAGCAATAAAGAAAATCAGCGTTGCGAATACCGGCATTCTGTACCACGACGGCAGAGCGCTGGCGACTTGCGAGAGCGGACCACCCATCAGAGTTTCACTGCCTGGTTTGGAGACTGTCGGGTGGTTTGATGGGGGGAAGGCAGAAGGAGAGCCGGCTACGGAGAATGTACCAGGAGACGTCTTTGGAGGGAACGGCCTCTTGAGCTTCATGAAGGAATGGACAACCGCACACCCTCGAGTCGATCCTCTAACGAATGAACTCATCCTGTTTCATTCGACATTTTTCGCTCCTTTTGTCTTTTACTCGATTATACCCAGCTCACAAAACTCCAGCCGGTTTGCACAACCTTCTCGGCTTGTCAATGCGGCAGTGCCTGGCATCAAATCTGCGAAGATGATGCACGACTTTGGGGTTTCATTTGCGCATACCGTGATCATGGACCTACCGCTCTCTCTCGATCCTAGGAATCTTGCAAGAAACGAGCCTGTGGTATCTTACGATCCTTCTGGGCTTTCGAGATTTGGAGTGTTCCCAAGACGGCATCCAGAATCTGTACGCTGGTTCGAGACCAATCCCTGTTGCATATTTCACACTGCGAACACGTGGGATGAGTCTGCCTTCAATCCTCTGACCAAGGAGATCGAGACCATAGCTGTTAATATGCTCGCGTGCCGGCTCACAAGCGCCTCCCTGGTCTTTAGTGCAGGAGATGTCGCGGCACCCATCCCGAAGCCAATTACTTCTCCTAGATATGCAGTAGAAGAGGAGCAGTGTCGACTATATTATTATCGTTTTTTGCTTTCTGGCTCTGAGAATATCATCACGCATCAATTCGCTCTGACTGCGATGCCATTCGAATTTCCGTCATTGCGAGATGACATGTCGATGTCCTCAACGCGCTACATTTATGGGTGTTCAGTCTCGGACAGCACATTTGGAGCAGCTCTCGGCCGTGCTGTGAAAATCGACTCTCTCGTCAAAGTTGACGCTACTGCCTTGATCAAGCAGGCAGAGCAAGATCCGCCTAATGCAATCACAGGCTGTGTTGACATGAGAAGCGTTGCCGAGATCTTGGCTTCTGATGACCCGGAAGACCCCATCAAAATCTTCAAGCTACCACCAGGTTTCTACGCCCAGGAGTCACGATTCGTACCTCGCCAGAATGGGAAGTCGGAAGACGATGGCTGGATTCTGTCGTACGTCTTCGACGAGAGCCAGCTTGACGAAGCTGGGAACGCTGGACCAGGTGCCAAGAGTGAGCTCTGGATTGTTGATGCTAGGAAGATGAAGGAAGTCGTGTGCAAAGTGCAACTGCCGCAGCGCGTACCTTACGGCTTGCATGGGAATTGGTTCAGTGAGCCAGAAATCCTCAGCCAGCGGCCGGTGGAAACTATCCGTCACCTCCCAATACCGAAGGGCAAGGCCCTTGCCGCGGTGAATCGTGAAGCACATATGGTCATGGATGCGTGGATGGTAGTCCGGAAGTGGATGTTAAATATTTTGGAATGAATACCAGTCACTTGGGAGCTGTATATTTGTGGGGGGCTAGCACATATGGACGGTGTTCTGCATTTTAATGGCGTTGGGAACAAAACATACCCACCTGCATCGGTCTGCACATAGTCGGGGTGGTTACGCGAGGCCGACCTGTCGAGTACAAATAATGTTTAATAAAAAGAATTGTTATAACTGCTCCTGTTGGTGTTTGATACTCGGAGTTCAAGGGACGAGCCGACCCCTTTCTTCTCCTCTCCTCTCCTTTCCTAAAAGTGGCTCGATACTATTTCGCAGACATCTGATAGCAGATGGAGTAAGGCGTGCAGATGGCAGATGATCTCGATCTCTGACTGGTAGTAGGGGTAGATGATGACGCTTAGATTTTCTGGATTTTTTTTTTGGTAGTTTCTGTACTTTGCTTGTCCTACCGGTATGTCAGTTCAGTTCAAGGGCTGCATGCAGTTCATGAAAGTAGCGAGTTGATTTGCTGCATGCATGCATAGGTATGCTCTCGCTACGCCCGTGAGGGAGCTAGCGAGCCACGAAGCCGGCATATGGAAAGATGGTGTTTTTCAGAATTGGTTTCTCTGGTTTCTGGTGTTATGATTGCAAGGGAAGGGGGTATGAGATGACGGCGATACCCGCTTCGCGGATCAGATGCCAGATCCGAGATGCGATTCTCAGATTCCCATTGAGTCATGAGATGAGTGGATGGAAAACCGTGTGAGGTGAGACATGACGCAGACCGACGAACGTACCGGTACGGACATCGGGAGTATGTGGCGTGATCTGCGTAATGCTCTATGGGTAGCCGCGATCTGAACCCTCGAGAATATTGATTGGTATGGGCGCGTACGAAGTACCGATTCAAGATATATACGAAGTACCTAAGGTACCGGTAGGTATCTCCGGCCCCGTGGTTAGGTAATGCCAATCCTCTCGCTAAAATTCTACTGTACATATCGACGAAGCGACGATGGACTGCCGTACAAAGTAACGGTCTGACTGACATTCTGACATCACCAGATCAATCGAAGCCGGCGGCCTGTACGGAGGTCGTTCGCTCGTCTGGAGCTGGCCCGAGCTGCAAGCGAGCATCGATCAGACAGGCTGATCAGTACCTCTATTGAACGGTACGGAATGCAACGCGTATCTGCCGTGCAGAAGTAGGAATGGACTCGTCTAGACCTGAAGCACCGACGATGCAGGTAGCCGCCAAGCCGTTCGTTGCTGGATCTGCAATGCATCCAGACTTTGCAGAGAGCTCGATCCGACGTCTTTGTTTGTTATGGAGAGGCCCAAGGATTCGTGAGACAACTGTATATATCTTCTTCCCAGCAATATTCGAACCTAACAATGACGTTTGACCTTAGCTACCTTTGAACTGCCGAGAAAAAGAAGCTTTCCGGACTTTGGGTCTATTGCAGTAGTGTGCACAGGCCAAAAGCTTGGTAATACTTACTTTTACTCCCGAGTCACTTTTCGCCTTTCGCCTATCCTACCTGACCTTAGAACCAGCCCGAAAGCGGCAGGGACTCTCTCTCCACATGCATCCACGATTGACTTGACTCGACTGCTTCTTTCTTTGTACCGGTCGTACAACAGTCGCAGTCGCACCTGCCAAATCCCTCATAGAGTACTAGTCCTACCCGCTTCTGGCTTGGCAAGCCTCTCTCTGCATAAGTTGGCTTCTCGTCACTTGACCATTTCTCTTGAGCTTTTCTTCTTCCTCCCTTCGTCAACTTCAACTTCAACTTCCACATCATCATCACCTTCAACTTTCAACCTTCAATCATCAACCATCAACCATCACTGCATCTTTGCATCTTTGCTCCCGCCTAATCTTCATCTTGGGCCAAAACATCTCTCAACCTTGCCGCTCTTCAGAAGTGTACGCAGCTTAGTCAACATACAGTCTGCGATGTCGTCTCCGCTGGTCGCGCGGGCAAACGATGCCTTGAACGTCAACCCCAACATTTTCCTCTACCCAGCGGCGTCTGACATTAATATCACGACCCGCGGATCCGATGTCTACTGGGCGGTCTGTGCCGTAATGGCTGCCTCCACAATTGGCTTCATGGGTGCCAGCTTCATGGTTCCTCGCCATAACCGCATTTTCTACTGTAGGTCCTGAGCATCTCTACAGTCATCTCCTCCTGACCCATTGAGCAGACATCACGGCTGGAATCACGTTGGTTGCGTCGATTGCCTACTTTACCATGGCCGCCAACCTGGGCTATGCTGCCATCCCCGTCGAGTTTATCCGATCCGACCCCAAGGTCGCTGGTGTCTACCGTGAGATCTTCTACGTCCGCTACATCGACTGGGTCATCACCACACCTGTGAGTCGCTCTTCCTATGCGCTGTCTTCACTCAAGTCTCACTGACCCTCTTTCCACAGCTCCTTCTCCTCGACGTACTGTTGACTGCCGGTCTGCCATGGCCTACCATTCTCTACACCCTTCTCATCGACGAGGTGATGATCGTCACTGGTCTCGTTGGTGCTCTTGTTGCTTCTTCATACAAGTGGGGCTACTTTGTCTTCGCCATGGTTGCCTTGTTCTTCCTCGCCTATCAAGTTCTCTACGTTGGCAAAAACCACGCCTATGGCATCAATAGCTCCGTCGGCAGAACTTACATGCTCTGCGGCGGATGGACCATGTTCCTCTGGTTCCTCTACCCAATTGCTTGGGGTCTTTCTGAGGGCGGGAATGTTATTTCCGCTGACTCCGAGGCCGTCTTCTACAGCATTCTCGATGTCCTTGCCAAGCCAGTCTTCGGTCTGATCCTGATCCTGGGTCACCGCAATATTGATCCAGCGATCCTCGGTCTTCACATTCGCGACTATAACCAGCAACCACAGAGCGCCTACCTCAATGCCAACCCCCAGTACGCACAAAATCGTCGAGTTCCCGACCAGGAGAAGGATTCTGCTGATAACAACAACGCTGGTGTCCTGACTCACGATTCCAGTAAGGTTGTCAACTTGAACGAAGCTGGTGGCAATACCGGCATCGCAGGTACTGGCACCCATGGGCAATCTGCCATCCACCCCCGAAATTAGATCCCGTCCTGGAGTCCGTCGATTCGGAGTCCTTTCGTGCGATGATACCACTTCCATTTCACTTTGTCTCTAGAAGACACGTCTCTCATGTCTGATTGATTGCATGACATTGTTCCACTCTCGTTCCGCAAGATCACTTGAAGGAGTCAACCACGCATGAGGCATTGCTTTTGTTTGCTGACCTCAGCATGGATGTCTCTTGTCATTTGTTAATAGCTAATATTCGTGTATATAATGTGAGGAGGACGAGGGGAGGAATAGCTGTTGTAATGGAACTTTACATCATGATGATGCACTTATTCATTTCCTTGCATGTGACGTCTTGACAGCTGAACTACATTTACTGGGAATATGTCGAGTCCGGTAAAGCTGTACAGGTTTGTGATTGCCAAAAGTTCTGCTCTGGATTTATTTAGTGAGAGCGAAATTTCTTATGGAGTGTTGTACAAGACACCTTCGATGCTACGGAGGACCAACCCTCTTGTACTTCAGACAAGGTCTCTGAATTTCCGGGGAAACGAGAGTAGGGGAGTGGGGTGGGGTGGTGTGGTGTGGCATAAGGTAAGTAAGGCCAGGTAAAAGGGTAACAGGAAAGAAGAAAAGGGGTCTGCTGTGGCCGTTTGTTCTGGGATCGTTTCGTGTTGCGGAGGTGGAGATGACATGACATGATACGATATGATATATGTATGTAAGATGAGAGGATGTAGATGGTAGTAGCCCTCGCTGTGGATATTTGTGGATATTTGTGGATATTTGTGGATATTTGTGGATATTTGTGGATATTTGTGTGTGTGTGTGTGTTTACTATGTATGTTTTAGGAAGGGGGGGACCGAGCTGGTTGAGGGGGTGGGGGATGGCGAGGCTGAGATTTGTTGTGTTGAGCTAGGGAAGGGGGAGGAGAGGATTTAGGTACCTAGTGGCGGATGGAGGATGGAGGTCAGTCAAGTGGGAGGAAGTCAGAGGTTATATATATATTTATATATATATATGTGGGATGAAGGAGGCAATATGGAGTAGAGGCAGGGGAGAAGCACACATAGCAATCACCATCACGATCACAGAAGCAGAGAGAGTTTGTGCACACATTTCGTTCATTCGTTCCGTCGTATGTACATATTCTCATCAGTCATTGAATCATCCCGACCATCATTCAAGAGCTGAGCAACCCTCTACCGAAACCACAACACCGAATTGAAGAAAAAAAAAACCCTATCCTACTCTCTCTTGTCCAACAAGGGAGCAAGATCAAGGAAACCAGGTAGAAGAAGCAAGAAAGTAATTAAAGTTTCTGACAAGCAAGAACGTATTAAGCCCCGACGGGGACAAGAACGAAGTAAAAAGAAACAGAAGCCGAGATATGTTCAGAAGACGGACATGGGAAAGCAGAAATACAGAGTCGAGTGATTGGGTGTCCACAAGCCGTCCTTTGGTTGAGTGAAGACGAGCAGAGATGCAAGTCGCGTCAAATCTGGGGTGAAAATTGCTTATTCGGACTCCAGGGTTGAATCAGCGGCGGTGTCATAGCCAGCCGGGGTAGGAGTCGCGGAGCGGTCAATATCATCAGGGATGGCGGTGGTGCTCTCGGTGGTAGGAGAGTAGGTTGGTGGGCTGAAGTACATCTGCTGGGGAGCAACTGGGCTGGGTGACCACTGTTGGTAGCCTTGAACTGGATGTTGTTAGAAAAGGGCCGGAGGAAGGTGCGGGAGAGGAAAATTTACCTGGAGACGGGTACTGGCCGTAGTTGTAGTAGTACGGATGGGTCGGGCTGCCAGAGACAGTGCCGGCGGAGGTCGCACCGGCATAGGATGGGCTACCAGTGTAGGCGTAGTAGGTTGGACCGATGTAAGGAGACGGGTAACCAGTGTAAGGAGAGGCCGGGTAGCCGGAGTACTGGGCCTGAGCGGCGAATCCAGTTCCAGGGTAGTAGTACTGGCCTTGAGGGTAGGCGGGGTAGTAGGGTGGGGGGTAGGCAGCAGGGGCCATCTGAGCAACTGGCGAGGTTGGTGGCAAAGCCATGGTGCGAGGAGCCGGGGACTGGTTGTATTGACCACCCGAAGCAGGAGAAGGGCGTGGGAGTTGACGACGACGCGAACGAGCAGACTCAGAGTCCTTCTGGGCGATCTTGGTGGTCTTGCCGCGGAGGTTGAATCCACCCTGCAAGAGTGTTAGCCGTGAACATGTGAGAGACGAGGGTCAACCTACCATGGCTGAGAGGGTTCTGCTGACAGATGGCTGTTGTTGGAACTCAACGAAGGCGAAGCAGTTCTTCTCATTGACTGGAAGTGTCAGCTGCCAGGTAGAAGAGAAGTGAGGGAATACATACCATCAATGATGGAGTCTGACTTGTGAAGAGTGATGTTGCAGACGCCGCCGAATTGTTGGAAGATATCATGGATCTCGCCTTCAGTGACATCAGAGGGGAGGTTACCAAAGAACACAGAGCGCTTGTCAACATCATAGGTCTCGAGGTAGGCACGAGCAGATGGATCAGATGCGTCACGCTGTTGAGCGGGAGAGCTCATGTTGGCCAAGGCTTGCATCTTGAACTCAGGGTTGTTGCGGTAGTGCTTGTACGTGTCAGAAACTGTCAGCCTTGGGAGGGGGAGGGGGACTTACCTGGAGAGCAGCCTGACCCTCGTCATACATCTCGAATTGAACCACGACACCCTCATTGAGGTTGTAGGCCGCAATCTCGAATGAGGTCGCAGGTCTGCAGTGGGTGATGTGACCGAAGTCAGAGAGGAGCAACCGAACTTCATCTGAGGTGACCGCAGCACCATACTTGCGCTCAAAGTAAAACAGGCCTGTTGAGACGTCAGAATAAGCGTCAGACGGGCCCCTGAATAGGAGAGAAAAGGGACTCACGATGTGCCTTGGCCTTCTCACAGCGGCATGGGCGACCCTTGATCAAGCGACCACGACCCTCCTTGATGGCACGCTCGGCATCATAGTCGTTCTGGAACGTATCAGCAGGTGAGATTGAAAGTGGGAGCAAGGGACAGATGAGGGGACCAGGAGTGATCTCACAGTGTATTGGCAGAATGCAAATGGCATCTGCTTAGTATCGCGGCGGATCTTGACATAGACTGTGCCATACTCGCGGAAGACCTGAGTGACAGCGACCTCGAGAGCCTCATCAGCCTCGGATTGGAGGAGGCTAGAAAAGGTTAGCAAGAAACCAATGTAATGGAGGAGGGTGAGACTTACTTGGCAACGAAGACACAGCTGGAAGGTGGGAAGATGGCCTGGGCGTCCTCGGACTTGATCACGACAGCCTCAGTGGCAGTGGTTCTCGACTCGCGGTTATCGGGCACGGTCTTCTGAGCAGCAGCAAGACGCGATACGGACTCAACACCACGGCGCTGGTAAGCAACGGACGGGGAGAGAGTGCTGGCCTCCGAGCTTGAGGAGGAGGAGCCTGCACGCCAGTTGCCACTCTTGGTGGAGCGACCTTGGTATCTAGGATCGGTTGGGCTGTGGTGAGAGAGGCGTTGAGAGCGTGGGGTCGAGTAAGTGGCGGAGTAGGTGAATGGGTCATCCTCGTTGCCCTGAGAGCTCTTGCGGACAAATGGTGGAGAGTATCTGCGGAAGGATGAGCATTTGAATTTGGGCGCTGGTTTGGATGGAAAAGGGGAAGACTTACCGCTCGACGCTCTTGCCATCCTTGACAGTGAGCTTGGAGATCTTGGACAGGACAGCGCTCTCTGTGGGGGAAATAGAACAGTCAATATTTGTAAAAGGGCAGCAGCATGTCTGAAGAGACCGTCTGAAGAGCAATACAAGACGCGTCCAGAAACTGACGCGAATGAAGAAGGAACGCGCACAGTGCGAAATGAAGGGGGGAGGGGGGAGGGGACGTACCATTGCTGGGAGTGCGGACATCATCACCGGCATTGCTAGACGCGCTGCCACCGAAGGTGCTCGCAGGAGATGGCTCGATGGGGGAGTCACCACCAGCCTTGAAGGCGCCAGCAGCAGGGGTTTGAGTGTAGGACGACATGATGCTGGAAGTGCGTGTTGGGGAAAGCAGAGTGAGATGGATGTAATGAACAGAAGGAGGGAATGCAGTGGGAATTGAGCAGTGTACAAGGCGGGAACGAGTGATCTTGAATGAGTGCTTGAGTGCTCGAGTGTGTTGGTGGTGGAGAGGAGAAGAAGAAGGGAAGAAGAAGGGAAGAAGATGGTGGGGAGGTGCTGTATAAATACTCCTGCAGAATTTTCTGGAAGAATGATCACCCGGCCCTTGATCTAGCACCGTAGCTTCTGTTTGCGGAGATTTTGGGCAATTGAACTACATTTGGCGAAAAGTTCGAGGCTTAACCGTTAGGGGAAGGGAAGGGGGGGAGGGGCGAGCCCACTAACCTACATCAGGGACGGAAGGGACATCCAATCAGCAGGGGTTGGCAGCTGCTGGGCCCCAGGAGGGCATCGAGAGGTGCCTCTGGGATGAGATGATGGCATGGTGGACCCATGTGGGACCACATCGAGGGACGGGATCAGTCAGTACCTATACATGAGGCTCGCAGGTAGTAATGGCTAGAGATAGTAGCTATGAGCCTCCTCCAGCGAGAAGCTCAGCAGTGCAGTGGAAGCAGCCCGAGAAACCGTCAAGCACTCACTGAGTGAGTGAGTCACTGGGCCTCACTCGAAGCCTGCTAGGCCTGGGGCTGGGTACGATCATGCCTTACGTATGTATGTATACAGTGCTATGGCGAGTGCCATAGTACCTTCAGAGCTGTGGCTCAAGGCTATTATAATCATCTCTATCTGATATAGGATGGTGATCCTTTGACATACGGATACAGGAGCAGCATCCTCTTCAAGCTTTCAATTGAACAGACTTGTTCACAGCTTGGACGTCACTTTTGTCGTGACGCGTACCACAAATAAACAACTCCTAGTGGAGACCCAAAGAAACCTCATTCCATAAACGTCTCGATTGTCACTGCACTGCGTGGAGTACAGGACCCTGCTTTCTTCCAAATCACCCCTTTGGTTTGTTTACTCTTAGCCGAAAGTCTTTTAACCGAAAATCTATGTTTACACTACTGCTCCCCTAACCGAGTACAGGGGTGCGGAACGGCCCGAGCCTAGCGCGCCATGTGCTCTACGCTGGTGGTGAATTTGCCCGGGGTTTTCCCATGGACTCACCTTTGACTTGAGCGTTAAGCTGGGGCAGTGTCTGTGGCTTAAAATTGGGCCATCCATCGCACCAATACTTGTAATAGCACTCCAAATCTCGGTCTGATAGCTCTATTAGGCCAAGGATCTGTAAAAAGAGTCTTCTCTGAGTCTCCAATACCCACGATGAAATATGACATTTAGTCATGAGGTTTCTGTGATACGCTCCCTTGAAGCAGTGGCAGTGGCAGTGGCAGTGTAACGATGAAGCCAGCATGCCAGCCATTTGATCTCGATGGGCTGAGATGGAGTGCTCTTGAATTCTAGGAGAGACCAAAATAGTGTCGTATGGCGGCTGCAAAGTCTTCAGGAAATTGATGTGTACGAGCAGCAAAGTATGGCCTCTAGCCTCTAGCTGCTAGGCCAGCGAGAGAAGGATGTCTAGTGACTCCATGCTAGACCAAAGACCGCATATGCTTCCATGAATGAGGTTTGGTGACAGCAAATGCAAGAAGCAGTGAAACAAAAGCCTTGAAAGTCGGCATCAGAACAGTGGTAGCAAGAACAATTAAGAAGGCCGGTCCTCAGCAGCTTTGCTAGAGAACGGTCAATAGATGTGCAAAGCAATAAGATACAGAAGCAAGAAAATACAAGCAAGAAGCAAGAAGCAAGAAGCAAGAAGCAAGAAGCAAGAAGCAATAAGAAACAGAAAACTGTCTGACGCAGACCTGAGGAACTCGATCTGTATGTTTCCGACCAGTAAGATGGTATAGAAAGCGATTTAACGCAGACCCGAGTAACTCGATCTGTATGTTTCCGACCATCAGCTCTGCTAGATGAACGACTCAGGAGATGATGAATGGAAGGATAGAAAAGGTGGAGGTGGAGGTCGAGAGGTCTTTGATGGTTACTTGCAGGTTGGAGGTTTCCTCGGACAAGACGTTGATTCGGCTGGTGTACTAAGGAGGTTACCGGAGTCGGCCCGACTTGTTTTTGTTATTGTAAACAACGCTAGATCGGCAAAGATGAGGCTCGGCCGCTCCACCCAAGCTCATCTTCTTGGCACCGATTATGTATCAAGTACGCAAGGCGCATTTGTGATTTTGGGGAAAACCGGTGATGCTTCTCTCATGCGAAACTCTGTGGATACCTCTAATAATTCCAGACAAGATCCGGCAGATTTTCATATACTCTCACAATGAGAGCTACCCAAAGCTTGCTAGCCAAAGGTTTCTTTGGCAGAAGTCTGGATGAATTCAAGCGCCTCTCCGGAATTGGTGAGCTTCGCAGAGACTACCTACAATAGTGATCTATGCTGATCAGAATCTTCCAAAGCCCTCCGAGCAGAGGCCACCCGGCGCCAAACAAAACCCTACGTCCTCCACACTTTCCACGACCCCTCTTCCCTCCAAGACTGCAAGTTGATGTCCGATCGCGATATCGGCGGCTTCACTCGCGCCCACCTCGACTGGATACCCCCCGCCACATCACCCCCCTCCCCCTCTCCCTCTGAGAACAAGTATGGGCACGCCAAGTTCCACGGCAGCATCTCCATTGAGCTGCCAGCCAACAGACCGCACATCCAACGAACGGGATATGCTGCGTGGCGCACGAAAGACAGGCCCTTCACCATATTCGGGAAGTCTTTCTGGAACATCGACCCTTACGCTTATCTCGCATTACGGATCAAGAGCGACGGGAGGAAGTACTTTGTCAATATACAGACGGAAAGCATTGTGCCTACGGATATACACCAACACAGATTATACGCGCGGAGGCCGGGAGAATGGGAGACGGTATTGATCAAGTGGAATGAGTTTGTAAGGACGAACCATGGTATTGTGGTTGAGCCGCAGTCGGAGATGCTCAGGCAGAAAGTTAAGACAGTGGGCATCGGACTCATTGATAGAATACCCGGACCATTTGAGTTGTGTGTGGAGAGGATCTGGGCTTCGAACGGGCTGGGGCAGGAGCTGAGGAAGGAGGATGATAGGATCGAGGAAGGGCAGTTGAAGAGCAAACATGGAGAAAAGATCAGATGGAATGAGGAGAAGCCTACGAAACCGCCGTCATGACTGTAATATATTGTAAGGGCAAGTTACAAAAAGTACAGGAGTCTTTTTCCAAGTTCAGAAGAAGCCTGACAGATCGCAGAGCATATGTGAGTAGCTTCAGATTCCTCTCGCTCCCCCTTCATCTTTCTCCGGTTCCTCCTGCTCTCCTTCATTTCCTACTAATGACCCAGCGGATCTGTCCTTCCTGATCGTTCTCAAACGCCCAGTGCGTTTTCTCCCGTCCCCTGCACAGCGTCTTCAAACAACCAACATTCATAAGCCGAATCTTCCTCTCCTTCGACATTGGACAGCGCTCATTGTCTAGCTGCTCCTTGGTATGTTCGAGGTGCTTTCGGCAGATCCTGACGATGCAGGTACGGCACGCGCACCTGGAGAAGGTATGGATGGTCTGGACGCACATTATCAGAGTGATTGGCTCGTTGGATGGTAAGATCATTGATCCAAGGAGGGTGGGTGCTGGGCAGAACATTATGGGATCTCGTTGCAGAATATATAGTTACATTTCACGATGATTCAGTAGCTGAGGAGGAAGGTGTGGAGGGAATCACCAATAGTTCTTGAGGTTTTGCTAGCCGGCACCAGTCATCACAATGTGCGTGTCTCTTGCTAGAGGTGTCTGTTTGCTTATTGACTGGACTCAATTCATGGCCGACAGGAGTAGAAGTCAGAAGTGTGGACACGATGGCTTGAAGTTACGATGCTGGCACATAGAATTCCAGATTTATTCAGAATTTGGACGTAATTGATCCAATTCGAGGACCCCTACATCCAGCAGAGTGTCCTGAGATATCAACCCTTCTGCATGCCATAAGACAATAATCAGCTTGCATTTATAAACAAAGACAGCTGTATAAGGAGGTGGGGTTCATATATCACGTGTACTAGATGAAGAAGTCGCGTTCTTGACGCGTCTCCCTCAGCGACCTCGGCTACCTTATCTGTATAGTTTGCATTGTACCCCGTTTACCACCGACCTGAATTAGGCTGGAGATGGAGAAACAGCACATGTATTTCATGAGTCACGATATTACGAACAAGCCACAACGATGACACGGTTCCTGACACCTTCGAAAATTGGCCTTCTGGCCCTAATTGAACTATACACTGATGCCGTCGTCCCCAATGCTTCCACGATCCCAATACTCTCCTTTATAATCAATCAGCTCCTCCCATCCTCCCTCAAGAACCAACCGCAAAGCCAGACCAAGCTAGAGACTCTGCCCTTCCTCCTCGACCTCAAGTCCTTCGAAACCCTCCTCTCCGCACATCCAGCAGCTGGAATTCCCGGACGCTCTCTATGGGATCATTTTCTCAGGAAGCTATGGGAAATTGACAGTTTAGATGCTGTAAACCAGTTCTTCACGAAGCGGAAGAATCTGCTGGCCAAAACTCGAGAAGAGGTGAGGTTGGATGACGAGCTTGGGATTCCGCCTCCTTCTGAGGATATGATATTGCTTTCGAGGACGTCCCCCTTGGGAAGCTTCGTACGCAGATCTAAAGTCGAGTACGAGCGCCTGCGGTTCAGTGATGTGCTGGCGCTGTGGGTGGCGTTCACGAAATGGAGGGAGGATTCGAGGGCATACTGGGCGAAGAAGAATGGTGGGCTGGGCAGATGGGCGGGAGACAGAGCACTAGAGGAGGGAGAGGAGGATTGGGGGACGGATGCTACGGAGATGTTGGAGCTTATAGCATATGGGGCGCTGTCGGTCGAGGGTGATGATGGAACGACCAGCACGGATGATATTGAGAAGCTGCTGGAGTTCCAGGTTGAGCAGATGCAAAGTGAGGAAACACGAAATATTCAAAGGACTATCACTAACTGTATCAGAACTCGGAACCAGAATCCCAGAGGATGTTAAGGATAAGTTCAGAACCACTCTGGGCAAGAGCGTTGTGGTACCCAGCCTGTCACATTATCTCACGTAAGTCCCTCATGTACTTTAGTTGGAATCCGTGCTGATAGTAACCAGCTTCCTTGACGCGTGGAGAGCTGGGGATTACCCAACGTCCTTCGATAACCTCCACCGATATTTTGACTATACCATGCAGAACAGAGATCGGCTGTTCTACCAATATGCCCTCATGAACCTGGCAGTCCTGCAAGCCGACTTTGGCTGTTACGATGAAGCCGTGGCGGCGATGCAGGAGACTGTGTCTACCGCTCGAGAGAACAAAGATATGGCGTGCTTGAACTTCGCTCTCAACTGGCTCTACCACTTCGGGAAGGCACACACAAAAGTCATCAAGGGGGCCGACTCCACGAACATCCTTGGCGTCGAAAGGGAGGGCCTTGCATTTCTCAGGATTAAGGCCAAGGAGACAGGCATGTGGACGCTCTGGAGCTCTTCGCTACTTAGTGAAGCAAAGCTAGGCATGTCGAACGGCGAGAGTGTTGCCACGGCTTTCGAGAACATCCTTAAGAGCTCCCAGCTCATTATCGAGAAGAACATGAAAAGCATGAGGGGTCCACAAACAGCAATGCAATCGGCCCTCTGGGGCCGATTGGGAGTGGCTCATATTGCAAGACAGTATTGCGACATCTTTCTCAGCTGTCATGCTCGCTTCGCGCTCTTCGATGACACCCTGAGGTTCACATGCAAGGTAGCTCATCTGCTAGCAGAAAGGGGGAGATACGATGAGGCGATGGCGAAGCTGGAAGCGCTGGATGAGAACTCACTTCGTTCATGGAAAGCTAATCAGTACTGGCAGAAGTATCGAGGTATTCTTCGCCTGAAGCGGGATCTGCATAGAAACGAACTGAACGGTGCCCACCATCTGCTCCAACAGCTCCTCCAATGCACTGCTTCCGATACCGACAGCGATCTTGCCTTTGAGACCAATACCCTCCATATCGATTACCTGATCCGACGCACTGATTACGGACAGGCTTTGGCGAAGATTGAGCAGATAGCATCGGAAATGAAGGAGGATGGTGATGATCTCAATTTGAGGATCAAGCTTCTTACTATGAAGGCCTTGCTTCAAGATAAATCTGGACGTCCGCAGAAGGGGTTCTCAGTGGCAGTCCGAGCAGCAAGCATTGCTTGGCGAGCACGATTGATTCCTGCTCTGTGGGGAGCAATGGGAGCTATTGCGAATATCCTGACTTCTCTATCAGAATTCCAAGCGTCCGCCCAGATTCTCGTCGCCATCATACCCCGAGCACTCGAGCACGAGAACTGCTCTTTAAACGCGCAACTATACTCCTTCCTGGTCGATGCACACATGGGACTCGCAGGGCAGGCAGAATCCGGGAGTGCAAAGAGAAAGGAGAATCTGACTAGGAGCTTGGAGTTCATAGATCGCTCTTTTGATGAGTACTCAGCGCTGGAAGATATCAAGGGGCAGTGCGAGATGATGGCTAAGAAGGCGACAATCATGAGGGTTGTGGGGGAAAATGTGCTGGCGAATGATTATGCGAGCGCTTATCTGGATCTGAAGAAGAGGGTGGAAGTTTAGGGCAGGCTTAGCTATGATACCCATGACCATGATTGATGCATAGTATAGATGTTGTTGTTGGTCACGCCCATCTTGACATAAGTTTCTTGTCCTGCTTGGATGCTCTGTGCTGGAGAAGAATTGCAACCGCTCCTGCTCTCAACTGCGAGCTTCATGTGGAACAGGGCCCGGATAAAGTGATACTTTGATTGCACCAATTCAATCGAGGACTTTGACGAGAAGCGGTACAAGCATCCCCAGGTCCGACTAAGTCCATCTGTCAGGAAAGTCCCCAACAAAATCCGGGACTCTGACAACCCGTTACATACGCGCGCGACAGAGCAAGTGGCTAGAGTACGTGGTCGCATTCGCAGGCCTCGTCCCTACTGCTCTGCCAGTTCCCTGGAGCGAGATCACGGATGGAGGAGATCACTCAATTGTCATACTCTTAAACCACACTTCAATAGGCCCAGTACCTGAAATCGTCCAATTGTCTAGCCCAGCAGCCTAGAATACCTGCTTGGTCGCAAGAAGACTTCAAGGCAGTAGAATATTGCATGGTTTCCAGTATTTCTACGACTCAAGGAAAAAATATACAGTCTCGTCTGTGCCAACCTCTCCTCATCCACCTCTCCTTCTCTCGCACCTTCTTCCTCCAGATCATGGAACTCAATCCTTACTCGCTCTTCTTGTGATAATTGACCTTGTCATTCCAGCTATACGAAGTTAGCTTCTGCGCTCTTCCATCTTTCATGTCCTGAGCGGCCGCTCTAATCTCCGTCTCTAGTCCCGAGGGAAAACTCACAATAGGGTCTGAGAAAGAAGTTAGCAGATATCCAGATGATAGAGAGGAGTGGAGGGGCTCACCTTGTCTCCATCACCCCAGAAGAAGTTCTTAGTTCGGATGTTCTGGTACGGGTACTGAATTCTCTCCTCCAAAGGCGGCAATTGCTCCCAGTGCTCCCAATGTTCATTCCACAAAACCCACGCGTTAACGGAAGCAATGATCAAGACTGGGGGGACTACGCTGTAAGGTGAAAAGGTTAGTCTCTCTCATCTTCGACAACCGTCTTCACTTCCTCCTCCAAGGTATCTTACTAGAGTGACAACTTGCGCCACAAATCTGCCAATCACATCAGCTCCGTCACATTCACTTGGATATTAGGAAGACATACCACTTGTGGCAGCAGCGTGGTCCTTCATAGCCTTCCTCTCCCGGTTGAAGGCATTGTTCTCGGCACCTTCGAAGGCAGAGGTCTCGGTGCTTGCCAGGCGGCGTTGGATGGGTGTGCGCACAGCTGGCGATCGCAGCTGGGCGGCGAAGCGCTGGGTAGTTCGGAGCATCGTTCGTTGAGGGAACATCGTGAGTTAATGGTGTTGGAATTGATTAGTATGTATGGAGAGACGTCGTCCGGTTCCATCCGTCGTTCTCTTGATCCTGCTGACTAATTTTGTAGATCACGTGTATGAGAAGTGACGACGCGATTCAGACTGGCATCCATACGCGGTCGCACGCGACGAGATCTCGAGCTCTGTGGTATTGGAGGTAGTGGCTGGCTTATCTGGAAGTTGAGTCTGGAAGGAGATGTCTTGAAATCCCCATGATTATCAGGGACTATCCATAAACATGGATGATAAGCTGGAGAACCAGGGTCTTCGAATAACGACCTGGAATGGTGAGTAGTTGTTGATTTTACGATGAGCTCAATACTAACTAGAAGAAGTGAACGGTATCAGGTCAGTTTGTGTGTTTTAGTGGCTAGGGTCTCCATTCTAAGACCAGAGCAGAAACCCGTTTGGATATCAGCCATGGCGTCAAGAAAGGACATTTGCTGTGCGTCACCTTGGGATTGAGGATTTGAACACGAACTAACTGCTCTAGGCCATGTTTGAGATTCTGCAGGCAGATATCGTGGTCATGCAAGAGACCAAGATTCAAAAGAAAGATCTCCGGGATGACATGGTTCTGGTTCCTGGCTGGGATGTCTTTTTCAGTCTGCCTAAGCACAAGAAAGGTATAAGATATCAAACTTTCAGAGAGAATAGTTGGCTGACACGATTTAGGATACGCAGGAGTCGCTGTCTACACTCGTAACTCTAGTTGTGCCCCCATCAGAGCCGAAGAAGGCATTACAGGTGTCCTGACTCCTCCGAATTCCCAAACCAGCTTCTTCGACCTCCCAGAAGACCAACAGATTGGTGGCTATCCCACCCCGAGTCAGCTCTCTTACTGCTCCCTCGATGCTGCTACCCTTGATTCGGAAGGTCGTTGTGTCATCCTCGAATTCCCTGCCTTTGTGCTCATCGGTACCTACTGCCCTGCAAACCGAGACGAATCACGAGACGAATTTCGAATTGGCTTCCTGAATGCCGTCGAGGCGCGCGTAAGGAACCTGGTGGCTGCTGGGAAGAGGGTCTTCTGGACTGGGGATCTGAACATCATTCGGGAGGAAATTGACACCGCCAATGCTGGAGAACAGCTGCGGAAACAAGGAATTACCGTTGAAGAGTATCTCTCAACCCCAGCGAGGAGGATGCTGAACCAGCTTCTCGTCGATGGGAAAGTCTTTGGAGAGAGAGACGAAGGCAGAGAGAAACCGATCATGTGGGATATCTGCCGGTCCTTCCATCCGAATCGTCTAGGCATGTTTACATGCTGGGAGCAGAAGATCAATGCTCGCCCAGGCAACTTCGGCTCCCGCATTGACTATGTTCTCTGCAGTCAGGATTGGAAGGACTGGTTTTGCGAGTCCAACATACAGGAGGGTCTGATGGGCTCTGACCACTGCCCCGTCTATGCCGTGCTCAAGGAGAAGGTTGAAATTGAGGGGAAAGAGGTGCATGTGCGGGATATAATGAGTTCTGGGATGTTCAAGGATGGTCTGCGACAACGGGAATGGTCAGCAAAGGACCTGCTTCCAATGTCTGCCAGGCTTATCCCAGAGTTCAACCATCGTCGCAGTATTCGCGATATGTTCACCAAGAAATCTTCGCTAACAGCATCAGATAACTCACTCTCAACCCAAGGGGCTCAAGATGAAGTCGGAACTGCCTTGCCAGATAGAGGGTTACTTACGTCCAAGGGCGCAATGGCTTCTGTGAGCACGCTACAAGCAAAACCAGAAGTCACAGAGGATTTGACCGCGGTGACAACTACCGTTTCGCAGACGACTTCGATTCAGAGCTCTGCAAAGCCCCCAAAACGTCCAATCGAGTCCCCCACCACACGACCCCAGAAACGTGGTAAGCCCAGCACCAGCTCGAAGTCCACAACGTCAAAGGCACAGTCAGGGAAGGGACAGAGCAGTCTAATGGGCTTCTTCAAATCGAAGCAACCGCAAGATAGCCAGAATTCGTCAATAATCGATGCAAAGTCAGATACAGCAACTATGATAAGCATCGATACCCTTCCCGAATCCTCAGATCTAGCTCCACCGGCTAAGGAAGAGCCTCCTGCCACGCAAAGCTCCGAGAACCTATCTCCCAACCTAGCCTTCAACCCCGCCGATCAAAAGAGCGTCCATGACCCGATAGCTGTCAAAGATAGCTGGTCGAAGCTTCTGGGAAAGCGAGTGGTGCCTCGATGTGAGCATGATGATCCCTGCATTAGCCACATAACCAAGAAGGGAGGAGAGAACTGCGGGCGATCTTTCTACATGTGCCCAAGACCTCTGGGTCCATCTGGGAAGAAAGAGAAGAATACCGAGTGGCGTTGTGGGACTTTCATTTGGAGCAGTGACTGGACTAAGGACATGAATTAAGGAGCAGCTATCGGGGTTTGAGCACGCATACATGGCTGCAGTTCGATAAGAATCTTGGAAGTTGCCTCTGCAAACGGGTTCAAATAAGGTGCGATTTAGAATCAAACCGTGTTCTACTCAGCTGATGTTTTCTCGTCCACAGCCAAAACGCATATCTTACGACCTGCCCGAGGGCTCCGCGCACTCCTTACACAACCAAAAACTTGGGAGAGATATCTCGAGAGTGGAAAATGGTGGAGACATTGCTCCTGAGAGAGAGTGCTGGATGCGAGCTGTGGCGCTGCACTTAGCTGGGAATACTGGAAGGCCTAGGGGGGAAGGAGGGGGGGGGGTGGCGCAGGGTGGGCGCATATGGCAACAGCTGGGAGGCGGATACAGGGACATTTCCTGGAACACACCATATACTGTGCAAATTGAGGACGAAAGCTGAGTAGTCCATAAGAAGACCACAACGCATCCTGTTCCATCTCTACCTCGATCTGCTCCAAGTTCAACCCCTGACTGCAACCCAAGCATCGCAGACTCCCAGTCTGCCAGCAACACACAGATCCCATAGATACACACAATGATATCTCAATGTACTTGCGACAGCCTGTGCCATCTCTCAAGTCTCACCTATCCTGCAAGATCCGATCCGGACAAGGGCATAAGCACTGCCCCCACAGCTTTGGCACTACGAATACACACTGTCCAGACTTTCACAGCAGCATCGCAGATACCACAATCCTTCAATCCCAACTGATTAGATCGCACACATCCCTTCTCTGCCCTTCCCTTCAAGAATTTCGCATTCGTATCCACAAGACGTCTGCTACGCATCACGTTTCCCCGCTCCTTCCCCTTCTAGAGCGCCAAGTCTTACTACATCTCTTCAAAACACAAAAAATCGTCCGAAGAAATGAATTAATAAATAAATATATCAAGTCCTACCCTATTCCTACAAGAATGCATACGCAGAGCCCAGCATGGATCCCAAAGTCCTCACTCTTCACAGATACATGGGCACGGACCCGATATATATCCCATGTTGACGTCGGCGCTGTGTATCCTGTTCGCCCAAGCCCAAAATTCCCACACCGCACACTCGTACTGCAGAGCAGATGCGAACTGTGTAAGCTGGTGGTTGGATTCCCTGCGGAAGTTACGTCACCGAGTGAAAATTTCAATGCAGATAGCGGGGTGGAAGATTCTGTGCGCGTCTGCCAGTTTCCTTGCAATTCACCAAAGTTTTGCCTTCCGCCTCATGATAAATTGTTTTTTCTTTGCCTAGCCACGAGGGCGAGGGCTGGAGATAGGGCTTGAGGCCTCGCTTGAGGCCACGCACGTTACATTTCGAAAATCAAGGAAAGGTTGGGCACTTGCTTTGTTGGACGCGCTGACGCGCTGACGCGCTGGAGGTGTTGCCCCGGGTGATGAGAAGTAAACATAGAGAGAACCTCACCAGATGCGTGAGCAGGAAGACCCAAGTAATTTGATTTGGTTTTGGATTTGTGCTATCTAGACTATCTAATGCTTGGCCTCAAAAGACCATCTCCAATCCCATATCAAGTGTTTTCATCTACCCATTTTCCATCCTTCCCTCCCCCCC